ACACATTAAATAGTCTAATACAACTGCCAACCCGACTAAAACTACATCTATACAAACATTTACATTTGTACCCTCTATACTCACAAAACATTCAATCAAGTCCCTACTATTTATTTACAGAATGTACAATTGAGTCCCTGAACTTTATTTACTCAGACTGAAAACCAATTACACAATCAAGGTGGATCAAACTGTCTTGATTTTCTTTTATCTTCATGATCTACAGGTTACCGCAAGGATTTCTCTTTTCACGATACTCCAATATTAACCATAACAAAAACCCCAAGCCGGATATCCCGAATACCGAAAAAACTCCAACAAAAATGAAGAACCAATTATTCTGCCCTCGGTCTCGAAGCAGCTTGTGTTGTTGGTTGATCAACTGGTCGTAATGGATTTTGTTTATCTCGCACATATAATAAATCATGAGAGGCATGCATATAAGCAAACATAATGTTGCAAAAGCGGTCACCCAATACCTTGGATCGTCTGAGATAAATTTCTTCTTGTAGTTGTTGACGTCTTCCTCTTTCGGAATCTGATCCGTCGTTGATTTCTCCAGTGAGTGATGAAGGAAACCCTTGAAGAATTTTGAGTAGATTTCTTTTGTTGAATAATAATAACAAAGCTTCAAAAGTTGATATTGATGAGCAAGGTCAATAGCAACTTCGATAATATGTAATCTAGTTTATCACGGGAATGTGTATTTATATAGACGGGGCATATAGGCTTGAAAGATCAATTTCAAGTCGTATTCGCTTTTCCTAATTATCTCTACTAGTGTGTGTCTTGCGCTTTGCGCGGCTTTGTCGATGTTGAAAATTTATATTTCAAAAGAATTGATTAGATAATGTAGTTACAAATATACCGTCCTTATTCTCTTAAAAAAAAATCTAGTTACTAATATTTCTTAAAATTGTAATATTTTTTTGATTAATCAGTTTTAGATCAAAATGAGAGGTATTGATATTATTTATGAGAGGTATATTTATAAAATCTGGTAAAAAATATTATAACAAAGATTTTCAAAAGTTGTATAATAAAAATTGTCACCACTAACTAATGTTATGTTTGGTTTAAAAAATATATTTAAAAAATATATAAATTATGTCTAGATGCATATGGCATATTTTTATAGGCAAGTAGACTTTGGGGATTAGATGTAATTCTAATAAAATATGAGACACAATTAATCGTCCTTGAAAATGTAAAATCGATAAACTTGAAAACTAAATAACACACAAATGGAACTTTAAGGGTCAAAATAATAATAAGTTGAAAGTTTAAACTCGTAAATGAAAGGACTTTTGAAGTCGGGAGTTTCTCAGCAATTTTCAAAAATATTCATTTTCAAGCTCACAATCAGGAATTTGTAATATCTGTAAAAATTTTATATACTCTATCCGTCCCACAAAAATAGTTCAGTTTGAAACTGTACAACTTTTTTTAGTTTGGTCAACACACCAAATGTACAACTTTTTTTCTATAAAAGTTAACTACATATGCATTTATTTTACAACTTAAATTTGATCAAAATTTTTATCTCAAAAAATATTGACGATGGATCTTGATGGAAAAATCTCGTTACGTAGATTAATTTGCTATATAACACATTTTTTAATTATTCATGTATTAAAAGATATAATCATTTGAAAAAATAAGAGAAAACTAAAAAAATGAAAATCAAAGGGAATGCCACTACTCTTTTGGATATTTAAGTCATTTCAATTCAATAAATTTTGACTTTTGTTAAACTGGACTATTTTTTTAGGACAAGATTTTTTATTAAATTGGATTATTTTTGTGAGACGAAAGGAGTAGTAAATAATTTAATTAACTGTTACAAAAAATTGTAACTGATTAATGATCAACCAATTAGCAAATGACATATGTTAATTGAGATTTGATGGTCTCAATGAGTGACACGTGTCGATTATCTTTCTTTCCTTTAATAAATATATATATATATATATAATGATTCCAATTAGGATTCTTCTCACCATAAATTCCCGAATTTCACTTGTGCTAGTAATAATATTATTAAGGATTTCATAATGTGGGATGAGCGCGTTGGAAAAACTTGGGGATGGTTCTATAACATTCTAACCGCGAGTTTTTTTTTTTTTTTTGAGTTTTGTATTTATTTTGTGTGATAAAAAATTGTCGGTCCGCCTCAAAATGATTTTCCGTTTCAAACTCTAAATTTTTGTTTCTAATATAGTTTGTACTAAAAGTAGATCAGCCATGACTGAATAGAACTAGGGAGTAACACTAACGATTTGATAATAGTAATCACTTTTATTTTTTATGACAATTGACTTCATCAGTGTACATTCAGTCAATGTAGATCAGCCATAATTCAGGATGCCGTACAATTTTCTTGAACCTCGAACTAACCGTCTTCATACAGAAAACAATCATTCCTCCACCGCCCACACCCCCTAAGGCCCACCCCCTACCCCCAAAACAAACATATAAGCACCCAATCAAATTCTTTTAACCGTGCCTTGGATTAGAGCAATAATCGAAGAAATTGTGGGTCGGTTAGAAATTATGGTCTGGTCGGTATACATTTATTTACGAGTTTGAAGATAGTAGAATTCAAAATTAATCAAATCTTAATTAGCGAGGTCACACGAGGTCACATAGTTGTTCAATTTTTTCTTTTTACTATAGTTACTGTTGATCTCTTCATGTTTTTTTTTTTGCACAAATAATACTATGAACTTTTTCTTCCGTATTCTTTTTGTTTTTAATTTTTTCTAGAGAGTAGCAAATTCTTTATAGAGTATAACAAAAAGGATCATCATTTCACGACTGAGGACTTAAGTAATATTTTCTCTGTGAATTTCAATTTAGATATATTATGAAAATTGCAAAGTTTCGTAATACTTTTCATATCCAAATATCAACAAAAACCAAGTTTAATATGCAAGCTCTAGAATAATTAATTTGAATTTCATCCTTTTGTTTTATGACAGAAGAATCAAGTAACATTTTTACGCTGAGTTTCAATCTAAACATATATATGACCAAAATTTCTAAATTTCCTGATAATTTTCATATCCCAGTATTAACAAAAACCATGTTTGATATGCAAGCTCTAGAATAATTATTTTGAATTTCATACTTTTGTTTGTTTTAGTCTTCATATTGGCGTGATATTTTCGCCTCAGCATTACATAATACTTCCAGATGCAGAAATTATCCAAAGAAATTAACTTAAACCAAAACACACACAAAACGGAAAATACTACAACAAAGGAAAACTATCATATCGACTTTGTCGTCGGGATATAGAAATCTACGCCGAAGCCAACTATCTTTTTTTTCCCCCTCAAATTCTTCTAATTTTGCTTTCAACCTCCCATACATAACAAAAATTAAAATCAACCATTCTATGATCAAAATCAATATAATCAAACCCATAATTTAAAATAATCTTTCATAGTCCATTCATGACAAAATCATGTAGCACGTCGTTCATGTAATGTGTAAGAAAGAAAACTATCAAAGTTCAAGTGCTAAATATATAGAGCATACTTTATTTGTAAAAAATAGACCATTACATACTTGGAGATGTCTAAAGAAAATACTCCCTCCGTCACAAAATTATTGTCCAGTTTAGATTTTCAGTTTTGGTTCAAATTGTACAAAAAGTGAAAATCTAAACTGGACAATAATTATGGAACGGGGGAATATAAAAGAACATAGCTAATAATTCCCCAAGCTATTTAACCCTAGTAATTTCTATGACTAGGGAATCCTTTGGTCCGCCAGGGGGTGAATTCGTCTTTCATCAATGGACTCTGAATTATCTTTCAGAATTAATCTAATAACCACTATGAACAAGGCTTCGAAAGACAGAAACATCCCGACCCCCGCTCCCACACCGTAGTAGAAATCATCATTCGTGTGTTGAAATTCAACCATATCTTGTTTGCTAATAAACTCGTGCCGACGAATATTGTCGAGTGTTTTCCCCATGTTACCCCGGTAATACGTAGCAAGAGCCGGGATCATCAAACAAATTACTGCACCGATCTGGAAGACGACGATAAGGAAGACATCCAAAATGATAGATCGTACCTTTCGGTTAAGTATGCGTCTTGTTCCGTTTCCTGATTCCGCATCTTGAGATAAATACTTACTGTCTATAATCCATATCACAAACAACAGGAGATCGGCCACAATTATGGTATCAAGTCCCAAAAACGATCGGAACAAATTATGAAGCGTTCGAAATCGATGCATCTCTTCTTGTTGGTAATTCATAAGTTGGTCATCGCTGATTTTGTTTAATCCGCCGATGTAATATATCGCAATTGGTGCGCATAGGCATAGACAACAAAATACTATGGCAAAGACGCAAGTCCAGGTCTTGGGATAGGTTGAGAGAGAATTTGAGATTAATTTCTTGTGATCGACCTCTCGATCAATATTCTGATCCGCCATTGATTTGGTGTGTGTGTGTGTGTGTGTGTGAAAGAGGAGGAAAACCCTTTGGATCTAAGTGGAATCCTTTTGTTGATTGAGCTTGAAGGTAGAAATCAATTCAGACTCACTAAATAATTGCTCACAAATAACTAGGGTATTTTATTTATCGTGATTCATGAGTATATCGGGACATAGCTTCTCCTAATAATTATTAAATTCTGGTCGTTGATTTCTAGCCATGTTAATGTGTGACCACATTTTTAAGAATTTTCGCATTTGTAATTTCCAAATGTTACTTTCATTATGGTATTATAATAGCAGTAGTATAATAAAGATCTATTTGATAAGGAGTTTTCTGTTTTTTTTTTTTTTTTCAATGTAGTTTGTAACTTCGTATCACAGTATCACACACTCACCAAGAAGCATTCAGTTTTACGCGGTTCTTTGTAGTGTATTTATAACTTATGCTTTAGTTTATACTCCCTCTGTCCCAAAATTATTGTCCAGTTTGAGATTTTACTTTTAATACAATTTGAATTAAAAATGAAAACACAAGACAATAATTATGGGACAAAGGGAGTACTTTATATTAATGGCTTATTTAGACAGGAAAGAATACAGCACTTGTTACTTGAAATCAGTTTTCTCACTTTTCCAATCATAGAATCATTGAGGGTAGCAGCATTTACCAACTTACATTCAAAATACATATAATTTAAACTACAACAGAAGAAAGAAAATGTATCATCAAATTTGCTAACCCCTAACTTGATCGCCACCAGCTCCCAAACTCCTCGATATCTCCGGAGCAGCTTATGTGGATCGGCACTGCTTCTCAAACTTAGTAAGCTATTATACGCCCAGGCACAGTTGCTGGAAGGCCTTCCCAGGGTCTTTCGGGTCAATTTGTGAATGGTGAGGGAAGTCATAGGGCATCTTTGGGGCCGACAGCCAAGCTTCATTGAAAACTCTAACAACTTCTTGATAGACCACTGCATTTCCTTCTGCTGTCAGGTGCAATCCATCACGCAGAAACTTTTTCCTCCAACCTTCTGTCTCCTGCATTTTTGACCACAGATTGATTGAAGGTAGATCTAGTTCTTTGGCTAGTTCAACACACTTATCTGCATACATTCCAGCTGTTTCATTTGTTCGCTCGGGCACCTTTGTTGCCTGGTCACCATATAAGGACCTGGCATATTCTAAGCGCCCTTCCTCATCGACTGGTGGGGGAGTGATGAGAACAATCAACATGGTGGAAGAACTTTCCTTTAAATGCTGGACAATTGCATTTAGGTTCTTCTTATACTCATCAACTGGCACATGCTGCCTTTCGTTAGTCCCACCCAACAGAGCTGCATCATTTGCTCCAAAAAATATAGTTGTAGCCACAGGTGGTGTAGCAGATCCCAGCGGGAAAAGATGATGAAGCAAGAACAGAGCCCATCTACTGTTGTATCCACCGTACCCACGATTCATAATATCAGCCTTGCGGGCGTATGTATCAGCAAGAGAAGCACCCCATCCCCCAGAACTGAATGATTGTTGAGTAATGGAGTCCCCAAATAATACTATTTGCGGACGCATTTCTGTTAGCCTATGTTCAATTCAATTGAGATGTGAAGTAGACGATACTGGTCCTAGAAGCCGGTAGTAACAAGAGAAGTTTCCAAGTCAAGATATTTGATGCTTCCTCCCTAATCAGTTGAAAAAACAAAAATATAAAATAATTAATACACATGCCACTCAAGATCGTGACAAGAATTGTCTGCAAGAGTTTAAACAGGAAAAACCAAATGCAGCTGTAAATTCATCTTTTGGAGGAATTTATCAGCCAGCGGCATCTTTACCAAATTCTTAGTTTATCAAATTCTTGAGTAATAAAGAAGAAGAAATCCTAATTTTAGAGAAACCATTATGATCATGATAAATTGTCTTAGTATACATACAAGTTTTCCCTTGAAAGGTTTTTTGAACCTCTTGAAATGAGGGTAGAAACTTATATGAATGTCTTGAAGTGTGAACTCTTCAAAAAGAAAATTTTAACTACTTCTAATTCTCTTTTCACAAAAAGCTATTGAAAAATGTTTCTGTCAAATACTTACAAAGGCCAAGATACATTATCATTCAACCCCTCTGCCACGCTCAAAGGGCAAAAAACATGAACCAAATGAAAGCAGTTCAAACAGCTTGAAACTAAAAAACTCCCCTGCCACCATCATCTCCATTCACAATTGAAAAGACAAAATTATTGCTTACCCTAAAGCATGCAATTACATCCAAATAGAAACAATCAGCCTACAGCTCCAAAATTTAATATACTGCAATCTGGAAAAACTAAATTTTCATAGTAATTTTATCCTACTAGCAGTTCGTAAGTTCAAGCAAACCATTTGTAAGTTCAAGCAAACCATATTGGTTTCTTTGCAACTCATATTAATAGGCCTATGAACAACAGTTTGTATTGCAATGTTATTTTTATCTTTTCCATTACAATTTCATTACTATGTATTGAATGTCAATTGAGTCCTACCGTAACAATTCCTCATCTTTTTCGATTATTCTTTTTTCCTGGCAATGTCAAGATCCCAAAAGATACATCCATCTTTGGAATATGCAGCCACAATTGATAATGTAATCCCCTAGATAATCATCTAACTCCTATACCATTTTCCCAAACACAGCAAAATAGTTCATAAATTATTGAGCATGTGATTAAGACAAGAGACAGGACAAAACAGCGATATCCCGTTGGGTAGGTGTACACAATGATCAAGACAATAATTAGAGCAGAAATCAAAGTATATATTGCGTATTTGTACCTCTAAAGAACGAGCGAAGTTCAATTGATAAAATTATTTCAGTGCTTTTTGGTCCTCAGTGGCTGTTTCTCAGTTGCAAGCCGATAGATCCAGTAAACCAGAGCAAAGACGTGTGCTGCTATTAGAAAGACAACAATGAGAGGCACAGCTTCAAGAATCCATGGTCCAGGTGAACTCGGTGGCTCTTTCGCCATTTCCTTTCAACATCAAATTCCAGTCTCCGATCCGGTGCCGCAGTCAACAAGTAGCTACACTTCCGGTCGCGAAATTATCAACTAAGCTTCAGCGATGACTCGATCGCAATCAAGACAATAGAATACGGCGGCCGGGAACTCTGGGAGGAGCGAAGATGGTGGTGAAGACGAGCAGGACGAGGCCGGAGAGATTTTGGGTAGAAAAATTGGGAGAGAAATTGGGAGAAAATTAGGGTATAAAAGAGGGGGAAATCTTATGGTAAATTAGACAGGATTAGATCTATTAAAACTTAAAAACTACGGATTAAGGCTCGAAAGATAAGATTGGATAAATTTTTAAAAATTACACTATTTCATGCCGGTGATTATAAGTTTATAACATATGAATATATACTACTTGAGGATGTAATAAAGACCTCTCTTCTAGAACCAATATAGTACTCCTTCCGTCCCAAAATTATTGTGCAGTTTGAGATTTCACTTTTAACACGATTTAAACTAGAAATGAAAACTCAAACTGGACAATAATTATAGGACGGAGGGAGTAATAAATTGGATTATATATTACAAAAGGAAAGAGTATTGATATTGTAAGACGAACATTTAATATAATAAATTATTTATTTCAAAACATGATGCAATCAAACAAAATATTATATATGAATTGTCGTAGATTGATCAGAGAGAAATGGAAGAGTTTCAAAAAAAATTGCTCTATAATTAAGGGAGATTAAGAATTTTAAGTGTTGAAGTGGAAAATTGAATAAAAAGCGTTGCTACTATAAATGAAAGAAGTTGGCATATTTCTTCCATTCTAAAATTATTGTCCAGTTTAAAATTTTATTTTTAGTACAATATAAACTGAAAATAAAAATTAAAACTGGACAACAATGACGGTACTGATAATATTTAAGAAAGTTTAAATGTGAAATTTATAATAACTTGATAATTTACTTGTTGTAATTCTTACATGGTAGATGGTAAACATACGCGTATGAATTTTGCTTTTAATGTAATTTACTTTCTTTTACTAAATATTAGGAGGAAAAAAAAAACTCGTATAATTTTAGCAAGTTATCTATTTTATGCCTCAATATTTGAAGCACGAACAACTATTATTATCTCTCTGTCCAAAAAAAAAAATCACATTAAATTTTGAAATTTGTATTATTTTTTTTAGCACAAAGTATAGACAAACTTTTCGGGATAAGGGTAGTAATTATTTTCACAAATCTTGTGCCAATCCAAAGCGATATGTATAATGGTATAAAATCAGATTGATATTAATATAAGTTTTTAAGTCTTGAACAAGGATGCCATGTCTGGTAAAACAAGGAAAACTACGGTTCATATTTGATGATGTAACAATTACATATACTAATCGAACGAGAATGTTAAATCATCATCGCATACACCGTGACCTACGCTTGACGAGAGAAAGAACAACAAAAACATCCTGTATGACGTTCAAATGACAATATCAAGACATAACAAAATTGAATTAAGTAGGATCAAGTGCCGGTGAGAAAACAGACTTCGGGCCTATCTAGGCCTCTTCTTAGTCTTTACTGCCGCCACGGAATAAAAATGGGAAGAATTCAACAAGAATTTGTTATAAATTTGGATTTTGACCCAGAATAGTTGGTTTTGATCCAATTTATTTCAGAGCCATCGCCAATATATGATTTGGGCCACAACTTCCTCCTGTGGTTGAAATTTCAAACCCAATTTACACTATTTTTATTCACTTGACCTTCTTCTTCCTTTGTGAATTTTACTCTAGAATGTTCTCTCGTTTTATATTAGAAATCAAATTCAAATTCTTCCGATCTTTGAAAAATGAAGTCAGAAAAACAAGGTTAACTATCACAATTTTTTTCTATTTAAAATATAAGAAAAAACCCACAAAAACTTGAACCTTTAGTTCCGAACGAAAGAGTAATTATTACACATTTATTAATTTTTTTTTTTTGGTAACGTTGGGAACTTCACCAGAGATGGCTAAACTCACGTCTCTGCAATAGCCTGCAAATCACAGTATGAGGTAAACCATCCTAGATAAATCCAGGATGACAAGTTCGGATGCGAAATCGAGGGTTCATGAGTGGCTTTGTCGTGACAAGCCCTCTAGAAGTGTCAATTGGCAAAGTTAGAGACGCCCCTCACTCTTGTTAAAGTGAAAGTTTGAACTCATGACCTGCTCTTGAGAGCAAAGGTGGTTTTTTCCACTGAACCAAAAAATGAACACATATATTCCTATTACATAACTATAAAAAATGAAGGAGTACGAAAAATGGAAGGACACGATCATCTACCTGTACCTTAAATCTGTTATTGTTTGTAAAATCTTTTACTTTCACTTGGTAATTAAAAGAGAAAACAACACTTCCAATCCAGTTTTTTTCTTTTTTTTTTAATTTCTTTTTTGCAACATTAATTGTGGTTCATAAAGAAGAATTAGCAACATTAATTACTTTTGTTTTCAGGTTAGTCAAGCACTCAACCGACTGAGGTCCAAATCAAATCAAAGTGAATAATAGCTTTTCAAATCTGAATTGTTATGATTAGTGATGTAATCATTCTTGACTTATGTAGAACTTTGATTTTCGAAAGCTAATAATATTTGAGGACTTTTCACTTCGTCAACAACCTTGTCTATACAAGTTCTTGATTTCTTGGAATTTCAAAAATAAATTCCCACGTTAAGGAAAGAGTTTTTTTTTTTCCCCTTTTTCGAAAATATTATAAATATAGGGTCCAAAACTCCGTAACTCCTTATAGTCACTTAAACAAACGTTATTTCATCTGACAAATGTTGCACCATAACATAATATTGTCAATATCCTCCTTTGTAAGAGGGAAAAACAACCAAAAATTTGATTGATTTTTCGAGCTACATATATTTGATCGATCTATTAGGCAAGTTTCTAGAGACTTCCAATTCCTTTTCATGTTTTTGTTTTGCTTAAATAGATAGTTCCATTTCGTAAGGGATGATTTGGAAGCCACAGGCTCTTACCGAATTCGATGTTGACTTTTCTTCTACCAGTCTGACCATAATACATACAATTAAATAAACACAATACAAATTACTTTCTTATTTTTTTCTGACAATTTTAACTTAAGTTCATCCGATCCGCTGTTTACTAAATTCAATCTTTCTGTTTAGCTAGCTTTAAAACCTTTTTGTTCGATTGTAAGAAGGAACTTTTTATATTTCAGTTTAATTTTCTTTTATGTCAGTTAAGTAGTGGCGAAACTAGGGAACAGAGGGGCACGGTCGCACCTGCTTAATTTTTTGTAATCAGTATATGTGTTCTAAATTTTTAATAAAAAATTATGTATTATATAATTTTTCACACTCCCTAAATTGATTTTCTGGCTATTAATAATTTTTTCCTAAATTTTGTATCCTTACATTGATTTTTTAGCTCCGTCACTGTAGTTAAGGATCTTCTACACTAGAATATATCAAAATTTTAATGAATGATGTAAGAAATAATATAAAATTATAGTATAGGAGATATTTTGTCGTTTAAAACCCCCCGGGCAATTTAGTTTGAATTGATGACTGTTGCTCTATATAAGCTATATAAATACAGCTAACGTTAATGTCCGGCTATTTCAGACATTTTTTCCCATAATAATCTATTTATTACTTTTGGTACTTAATTTCCTTGTCGTGTAGTATCCTTTACTAATAATCTAGTCAAATCTAACTCTTATTCGTCTTCTTCTTTTTTTTTTTTTTTTTTTTTGTCACAACTTCATAGCATAAAATCTTGTGTAACTCATTTTTGTTATGATCGTGTGTATCCACTCGGAATCTTACTGAACGAGCTCCTTTGAGTATGACTGGGGACTTTTGCAAAATTTTCATGTATATCCCTTACATAAAACTTAATCATTATTTTTCATCTCAGAAAAATAATACTCCTTCTGTCCCAAAATTATTGTCCAGTTTGAGATTTTACTTTTAGTACAATTTGAACTAAAAATGAAAACTCAAACTGGACAATAATTATGGGAGGGAGGGAGTAACTTTTTGGTAATTTGTTAGTCTTTCACTATATATAGTTGAATACTTTGACTAGAAGAGAATAGATAAAAAAAAAATATCTCAGCCAAATTGGCTGCTTCATCCTTTCGTGAAACAAGAAACAATGGCACCACCATCACAAAGAGGGATAAGGGGCATCAAACAACAAGCATAAGATGCCAGTCAAATTAAAGGGAGTGAATTGGGTACGTCCGTACCAGACACAATATACACACGGTTTCATTTTTATTTTTTGTTTATCACTTTTTTATGACAGTGCATGCAATCGAATATAAAATTCTTAATACAATCGTCAATGATTATGTAACAAAAAATACATATTCCATCAATTTGAATAGATAGAGATTATCTCACATCTAATCTCTACTATTTTCCTTCTGCTCCAAATTGACTGTTCAGTTTAAATTTTTATTATTTTTAGTATAATTCATTTCTCTATATTAGTTTATAGTATTTCTCTCGAAATGATTGTTCAGATTAAATCGCTTAATTTTTTTTTAAAAGAATAAATATTCAAATTATATAATTATTTTGGGACAGAGAGAATAATATAAGAGGTAAGAGAAGTAAAATATGCCGAATCCAGAGTTCAATTCCATAGTGTACACTGTACAAAGAGTACTCTGCAAAGTACACCACTTTTTTAAGCTACTTTCATGACTTATTTTTTGTTATTCCAACACCCAAAAAAAGGGAACATTCTATAAGGATTGTGTGGGTCTTTTTTTTATAAATAGTGCGGCTTTGATGAATTGAAGAAAGAATTATCCATATACACGGTTAGTCCATCGATTTTATTTTTCTTTTTCACCCATTTTTGCTTCATGTAGAAGATTGAGAGAACATGCAAAACTGGTCCCTTTGGTTTCCGCTAAGGCTTGAACCTAGATTTTAGAGTTACAGTCTCCAAAGCAGTGATAGTCTGATGTAACCGGAATTTTTAAATCGTTGGGTTTGAATATAGAGTTATTTAAATGTTACCAAATGGTCGAACTATAAAAATTTTAGCTGTCAAATATTCCTATTAAAAAAAAAAAAAATCTGGATGGCCGCGTCGATCTTGACCCCCAGCCCTCCGACCTAAAAACATATAATTTTTGCGTATGATGATTTCTTGATGAAAATGGTTTGTGTATGTGATTTTTCAATTAACTCATCTTAGAAAAATTCTAAATTATTATAATAACTGTAGTTTTCGTTCCAACGAAAAGTAACCAAGGTCAATATCATGAAGCTAAAATTAAATGTCATTAACATGCATCAAGTCCAACTAAATTGTCGATTTCAGCTTGTGACCTTCCTGTTCTTAACATTTAGTTGGGGATTTTCCAACTTCATGAATCGTTTTTATTACCATAGTTCACTTTATGCAAAGAGTAATAACGATACTTCGCCAAAGGGTACTATTGAGATGTGTGATATGATGCTTTCAACTAAAACTTAATAATACAGTTACATTTGTCTCGTTGAATATATGCATCCTAGATTTGGTTGCACAAAGCGAAATCCGTGACGTGGATTTTCTTTGAGAAACTTCTTCCTTTTGCAGCCTCTACATGAATAATAGAGTCCACAAATTCTTATATTTTTAAATTTAATTTTCAACCCTTTTTGCCCACGTCATAGGACCCTATAAATTTTCAACCTCCCCTCACCAAAAAAACAAACAGCCAAAATTCAGCCAAAAAAACAAAAAATTTTCCTTCAAGTTTTGCCTCCAAAAATTTTTATCTCCAAACCAATTATAAGAACATAAAAAAAAAACTTAAGGGCTATATACATTTATATACATAATATTTTTCTTTTACTTAAATATTACACGTTCTAGTTATGGAAGGAAGCTCTTCTAGGGGTAAGGCCATGCAAGCTCAGGCGGAGAAAGAGAAGGATGACGTCCATTACCGCGGCGTCCGAAGGCGGCCGTGGGGGAAGTACGCGGCGGAGATTCGCGACCCGACACGACAAGGCGCCCGGGTGTGGCTAGGGACGTTTGAGACGGCGGAGGAGGCGGCGAGGGCTTATGATAGAGCTGCATTTAGCTTAAGGGGTCATCTTGCGACTTTGAATTTCCCCGGTGAGTATTATTCTCAGCTGCCGAGCCCACCTCATTACCGGCACTTACCGTCAAATCAGCAGAACTTTAGGGGCGGAGGAGGAGGAGGTTCTTCATCGTCGCCGGCGGCCGTGGTGGCGTCCGGACAAGGGAATCAAGTCATTGAGTTTGAATATCTGGATGATAGTTTGTTGGAAGAGCTTCTTGAACTTGAAGATAAGAAAAGGAAAGGGAAATGATCAGTCGGGAAAAATGTTAGTATTATATATATTTGACTGGTCATTAATAGTGAATTTAGTAGTATTATGTTTAAGTATTAGCTTACGTGGTTTTCTTTCTTTGGGCTTTTTTTGTCTTGTTGGGAAAAACAATGGTCATAATTTGAGTTTTGATTACTTCCTTTCAGTCAATTTCCTAGTTGTGGCTGAATAGATCAAATTCAACCTCTTTTTCCTTATGGTTTTCGCTCAAAATAAATTATGCTACCATCTTTTGATACTCAATTAGCTGGTGGAAAAAGGTTAAATGGCAAAGTTGTTTGTTAAATATCTAAGTTAATATCCTTGATTAGGCAATGATCAAGTGAAACATTTAAGTTAAATTGTCTTTCTTGCTTGCAGAATAATATATTTATTGTTGACAACAGTGACTGATCACGAATCGTTCCATCAAACTTTGAATTTACAAACCTTAAATTCTAAACTCTAAATTTGGAATAACCAGTTCATGGTTCTCGTTCGAAATGGATAAGAGAGAAGTTTAAAGTCTTAATTTGAGACGGGTATATTATATACAAAAAAAGGAGAAAGTTCTCTAGTCATCATCGTATGAATAGGTACATGATAATAAATGTTGATATGTAGTCAATTTCGGTTAACAGAAAGAAATAACACATACTTTTTGGTTGAGTTGCTCCTTCCTAGGAAAAGACAGATTATTTTGAATAGGACAATAGATTGCTTGAAACTTAAAATAGTACAAATAGCGTGTATATTGTATTTCATGGATGAAACGATAAAAAGATTTTGCTTCAATAAGTGCTCATGAATTTATTCTTTTTTTTTATCTCATAATCATACGCAAATCATTGTTTTGATAAAATAATTTTTTTTATTATCTGAAAAATGAAACACTTTTTTTGAGATATTACATGAATAATTACACTATATGTGACAACACCTTACCCTAGAGGGGGAAAAAGGGTGAATGTTCAACTTAAAAAAAAGGGAGTTTGAAAAATATTATTGTGATTGTAATACAGAGATAGTAATATTAGTATAATATATTGAAATGTCATTATTTGAAATACAACAAAAGAGGTGAGACAAAAAAAAATGAAATGAAAAATCTTGAGTAAGAACAATACAGAACTAAAGCCACACGTACTTTCGGCCATTATTGATTGATGATGTTCGAGAGAAATGATGAAGAATCCAAAAGGCAAAAAGGAATAAAGGTTGAGATCATCCACGGATTGCGATTGCAAATTGACGATGATAGTAAGTACGTACGTTAAAAAAAAAAAAAAAAAAGAGTTATTGACTTTGAAGTGGCATTAGGAATTATCCCCCTGCATGCATATTATTATTTTATCATAAGATTGTGATCCCTATTTCCATTAATGTTCAATTTAGGCATAGTATAAATTCAGTAACTCAATCTAGGAACATAATCATCTCATCTTAGATGATGTGAAGTAGGGCTGTTAACTCGGGCGTGTTCGGACGGTTCGGGTGAAATCGGTTTGGGTTAATCGGTTTTTTTCTTTCAATGCACCCGCCCAAAATCGAACTGCAAAACCTATAACACTGAACCGAACCGACCGAAAAATGATTTCGGGTTCATCGGATCGGTTCACCCGCATAATTTTCTTTTTCCTTTTCTTTTTCTTTTTTGAGAAAGTCATCGGATTTCTCCTCCGAAAAAATAGACAGCAAACACTTATTTCCAAAGAAATAACCGCATTTATACAACAAAATCGTATTATTCCTACCAAATCCTTTAAAAAGAACAAAAAAAGAAAAAAAACAAATAGATGCTGGAATAAGTCAGATTAGGGTGATTGTTGCTGTGATCCAGAAAAAAAATATAAATCTTTCTTCATCTCGCTTGAAATCATGGCCCGTTGTTATAGTAGTTTGAAGTTGATGTTGAAATCTGTCAGATCTGGACGATTTTGATGAAAATAAGATGAAGGAAAAGAATTATTGGATGCTACATAATTACAGGATTGGAGATCGGAGAAGATTAGAGAAATAAGAGGGAGGCAACCGCCACTTGAATGTTGCTGAAGAGGAAGTCGCGCCCCCGATGGCCGATTCTGTAGATAGAGCTAGAGAGTTGTTGGTGGTTGGGGGGTGTGTGGGATTTGAGAGTTGTAGCCGAGACCGAGAGAGGTGGAGAAAAACTCAAAAAAGAGGAAGGGGGTAGTGTGTTGGGGGAGAGCGGCGGCTACAAAGAAAAAAAAGAATAAGACTGAATTTAGATGTCAACCCTAGATATTATATAAAATCATTTTTAAAAAATAAAATTATATTTATTATTTCGGGTTTTTGAGCGGTGCCCGAATAAAATCTCTCCCGCCCGCACCCGAACCGCAATACTTTTATGGTTAATTGGGTAGACCCCCACAGCCCGAATCGCCCGATTATACGAACCGTTTGACCCAAAACGGGTTCGGGTCTGACGGGTCGATCCGGTTAGCTGACAGCTCTACTGTGAAGGCAGAGATTCTGAAATTAGTAACTCATTGGATGAGTGGTGCATGGTGCACCGGTGGGTGATCTGCCGCCAATGATCATATTTTATTTTTTAATATTAATAATACCTCTGTCCAAAAATAAAAAAGTTCACATTGAGTTTTGAATATTATATGTTAAAAACAGTAAAAAGTTAAAAACTTAACGTCAATTTTTTTTTTTTTTTGGGAAGAGAGTGTATCATTTACGAAATTTTTTAAATTTAAATTATATTTTTAAATTTCATGCTTTTACCATACTAAAACAAAAACAAAAATAATACGGTTGCCCTTATAACTTTGGGTTCGGATCACCTATCCAAAAAATCCCTGTCCAGTCACTGTCCAGTTTAAAACGACCTAGTTTTACTCCTAAAATGTCTCCTATAATTAAAAGATTTTTATCTTCTCACATTTTTAATGTCACTTTATCGACTCGAGCCAAGCAACTCCATTTGGTTCCATCCGATAACGACTTAATTTTCTCTTGCTCTACCTTAATGAAATTGAGTTTTGGCTGCGGCTAATTTCATCGGTTAACGGCTGTACAAATTGAGTTTTGTATCGAGTAGCAATTCTTTTTAGCATATTAAATTATCCGTTGCGGTTTCAGTAAAACTTTGATTTAGTAATTTGTTTCACCCATCTTTATTAATGTTAAATTTCACTAGGTTACGACTTAATTAATTTATGAAAAGAATGGATTTTGAGAAGAACCCTTTTGTATTTGAGACTTTATCTCTTTAGAAGGTTGTTTGCAATTCAACTAGAAAATTGCAATTATGGGTTTCAGAAAGAACAGTTCTCTTTGCCAGAGAGGCAAGAAAATATTAATCGAAAAGTGCAACACTGAGATGAAAGCTAAAATCCAACCCTTTGAGCTAGGTTTTCTTGTTCCTTAAGAACAAGAAACACGAAATTAAAGTCTTAGGAAGAAAGCAAGAGGATATTACTTCAATTAAGTAATTCTGAAAAAAAATAGGAAGGCGGCTTGGCTCAAGCTGATAAAAAAAAATAAACTAAAAGGTGACAAAATCTTTTTAATTGTAGGAGACTTTATATGGGCTAAAACTACGTCGTTTTTTCTTAAGAGTGACTGAACAGGGATTTTTTGAAGAGGTGATTCCAACCCATAACGTTTAAAGTTCATTTCGACCAATTAGATGATTTATGGCATAGAGGGGAATAAACTATAAAGGACCGCAAAGATATGCCATTCTCCAAGTTTTGGCAGTAGATATTTTGTACCAAGTGCTCCCACAATTGATGATATTAATAATATTCGAATTTGTGGTTTTGATAAATTTTGTAACTATATCTCTATTCCTCAACTAACGGGTGGGTTTGGAATCAATTCCTCGTAAGTTTAAAATAAAACTAGTTCTAAGAGAATTTATGGTAAAGGTTAAGAAAAAAAAACATAAAATCTCTTTAAAAAAAAACAAATACTAAAATAAAGGAAATTTTTTATGGTCGCCCATCAATAATAATGACTAATCCTTTATAAACATCTGCATGGATAGTAATGTTTTATGTTTGTAATTTATTCTATGTCAAAGTCACATGTAGAACTTATCAAATGTCACTGAATATGTGGATAACCAAATTAGTCCTTTCAACTTAATGTCATTAGAGTCACAATCGATAAGGTTTTATCCTTTTTAGTGATCACAAAATCTCCATTTTCTCACTCATTCAGACATCAGAATTTTTCTTTTCCTTCTTTTTAATGAAAATAATTTTAGCTAGAAGAAGGGTATCTATCCTACAGACCACACAAAGTGAAACATGATTCTCAATTTGAAGCATAAGATTGTAAGTTTTCTACGTTGGCAATTCAATTCTGAACAGAACTTTTATTAGTTTAGCTCAGGAGAAGAAAAACTTTCCACCATGAAAGTCATGTGTTGGATTCGTGATCCCCTACAAGATTGGCATGTGTGAAAGTGAAACTGAATCAAGTATTAGAAAACCAATTTCGCAGTGGATTATTTGACCTTTTTTACTACTAAAAAGCAATTATTGGAATTTTAGTGTTAGATGATCCCTTGAGGGATGTGTAATTGAATTAAAAAGTTATTGCGATTATGGTTTCATAATACTATAGTTTCGAAATACTTGACTCAAACTTTTATGCCTTCTATCTTTTTTTTTTGAGGTCACAGCAAGATTCGAACCCACGTCCTTCCCTCGACCTCTTGGTAATAATTACCATCTCTCATCCTAATCTTTTAATTACACCACCCAACCGTCTCACCCCACCTTTTATGCCTTCTCTCTTATTAGAAGGAGAAAAAAAAGAAAAAGAAAGAAAAAGAAACAAAACAATACAAAAGCCTTTTGGCTGTTTGCTTTTAGAGAACTAAACGCGAAGTGCTCGTCGGCCACACAGTTAGAGAAAATAACTCTTGTAATGGTACTTAAATAAACACAAGGCTTTAAGTATAGATAGAGATTAGCATGTGTTTCTACGACGTCCCAAATTTGTATTTCTGTCTTATTCGAATGATCGTAATGAATGTGCACAAACAAAAATGCGTTTTGTGAGGTTGCCATTAGATTTATTACTACTATAGAAGCCGCCTTGCATCCTTATGGCTAGTTTTTGTATAAAAAAAAAAAAAAAAGTTTTTTTGTCAAACAAATACTCCTACTATGGGAGATGGAGCAATATTATTGCTTTTATTATGGAAGTAAAGGTGGGTTTTCGATTTTCTAACTTTTAGAAAAATGGAGCTTATAACAAGATCACAACACTTTCTCTTTTCATAAGAACTACAAAACCATATCCGTAAAATTCACTTTTCAGAAAATATTTTTTTTCAGAAAAAAATTTCAGAAAATATTTTTGATTCGTTATTTGGTAAATAAAAGGAAAAAGATTTTCATTTCCCTCCGCCAGCTAACATATAGCCACCATCACCAACCTCCGGTGATAGTCTGACGACAATATCGTTAATGCAAAGTTGATTGTGACTGTCACAATTTAAATTTTTTTTATATAATATAATAAAACAAATTAAACTTATATCAAAATCAATTTCAAAATACATTTGCTATGTTAAAGTTCCACGTCAAAAACCAAGTTACGAAGAATGATGTCTTACCAAGTTAATTTGATTTCCTTTACCAAGTTAATTTGATCGAAATATAAGTGTGTTCCTGTTAACTTGACCATCTTCAAAACACCGAGTACGTAATATGATGAATAGTATAGAATAAACTCATTAAACTTACAAGTTATTAATTATTTAATTATAATTATTCTCTAATCCATAATTTGTCCAAATCAAACGTAGTGATGGCAGGATTTTTTGTCTCTAAGTTGAATTTCAATCAAATCCTCGAATTAAACAAATGAAAATTGAGATGTGTTTCCTTCATGTCCTCTTCTCTGATTCGTCTTCTTCTTCTTCCCTTCCCATTTTTCATTTTCAGTTTCTTTATTTCCTGAACATTTTTTTGCATTAAACGACAATAAAGGAACACATGGCGGCCACCAATTAATATATTACTATCACTTGGATGCTAAAACTCTGTTCTTCTTGAAAGATGGCTTTTATATATTGAAGCTACATTTGAGCACATGTCTGAACTCTAACGTCAGTAGTTTTGATTCAGATAGAACATAAACTGAAGATCATCTTTTACAATATCAGAGTGTAATTAATGTACTCTCTTCGTCCCAAAATTATTGTCCAGTTTGAAATTTCACTTTTAGTATAACTTGAACTAAAAATAAAAACTTAAACTGGACAATAATTTTAGAACGGAGGAAATACCATTTTCTAAATTTGCATTGTATTATTGTCGTTTAGATTTCAGTCTATGACAGTTTAATCGAAGGCCTTCTGCGCCATAATAAACCATCAGGATTGTCTACAGCTTTCATCATGACATTACTAATTGGTAGTCCGATACTATAATACTTCAGCTTTTTACCTCCTTATATAACAGAAAAGAACGGCGATCCAGCTAAGTCATCGATAATTATGTCAAAAAATTGAAGTGTTTTACTAGTGATAGAAATATTCATGTTTTGAAATGACTTACAACAATGTTCATGTTTTGACGGTCCAACTTCCATTCTTTTTTGGTTACGACATCGAAATGAGTTTTTTTGTTATTTCTTCTAACACGTAAAAATAATCTACATTGCAAGCTATGAATTGTACTATTTTATTGTACTATAAAATAGTACAATTTCCAAATTGTAATTTGAACTGTTTTTTAAGACGAAACGAGTATATTTTTACAACTTATAGCTTTGCAAAAAAATATACCCAAAAAAAGGGCTTCTATTAAGAACATTTGTTATGGTGGAGAATTTTTATTGCTGCTTATCTTCTTAAAGAACTTACGACTTGAATTCAGATTAGTCAGACCATAATTATAGTTTGATAACCAAAGGAGTAAACAAAAAACAAAACAAAAAAAAAAAACAAACAAACAAACAATCATACAAAATTACCAAACTCGTACAAATACGAGAACCTCATACCAGCTAGTTAGATGTTAAACTAACTAGGCCCAAGCTATACTATATTTTTGAAGAGTAAAACGTCAAGATATACGTCTTTACAATCCTAGAAAACCTACACTCATACACCATAAGAACTGTCGAATGTCAATCACCTTAGCATTATATGTGCCTAGAAACTTCATTATTACATGTGGCACTTTTCAGATCTGGAGCTCAAACTTTGAGAAACAATACATTCAATGAGAGATTCATAATTCATTATCTGTGTAACTAATAAGACAATCAATTACTTCACCGTAATGATTACCATGTAACATTGTACCATAAATCTGATAATCATTTTCTCAAAAAAAAGTATAAGTTATATTTACGCATCCAAAGAAATTCCATCCGAACATCACACAAAAGAAAGTAATGATCATCTAAATCCAACCAAGAAAATAAGAAGATGAACAAACTATATATGTGATTCATAGTAGTAGCTATTGAAACAGATACTTCTTCTCTCCAGAAAATCTAAACTCAATAATTATCTCGGCACGGAGTGTAGTAAACTTAACCAAAGATCAATCATCATCTTGTCCCTTAGTTTTATCTAGAAGTTCCTCAAGTACTTTATCATCAAGGTATTCAAATTCAATGACATCCCGACGACGTTCACCATGCATACGTTGCGCCTCACTCTCACTCCTCCCATGCACGGCGGAGGAAGAAACCGGCGTCGATGTCGAACCCGAAGCCGACGAATAAGACACAGAGGATTCCGGCGACGCGAAATGCGATGAACTACTCGGCAAATTATACTCCTCGGGGAAGTTAAGGATGGCTAAATGACCCCTCATTGCATACGCCGCCCTATCATAAGCTCTAGCCGCTTCCTCCGCCGTACTAAACGTCCCTAACCAAACCCGAGCACCTTGTCGGGTCGAGTCCCGGATTTCCGCCGCGTATTTGCCCCACGGCCGCTTCCGAACTCCACGGTACCTAATCTCGCCCCCGCCACCGCCGCCGCGGCCCTCGTCGGGATCGGCACTGCTCTTTCCTGGGTCACTATGTCTTTCCATTTCTTACACTCTTCATAAACACAACAAAAAGGAAAAAAAAAAAAATTTATTTGTGTTGTTATGGTGACATGGAATTTATATAAAGTTCCGAAAAAACTATATTTTAATAAATAAAGCAAAAAGGTAACTCTGTTTGGCAAAATGTGGGGGCTGGAATTTCGCCACGTGGTAAAGACCAGTCGATAAAGACTAAAATGGGATAGTATGCATGCAGTGAACCTGGGAGATTTGGTCAGCCCGATGGCTTTGGAAATTTAATTCGATCGTCTGTCACTTTTTTCATGTTTTTTTAATTTTATTTATTTGACACTTTTCTGAATTTTCATTTTGTTTCCATTTCGATTCGGACTATTACTTTTTTTTTTTTGTATTTTTAGTGTGTGAACAGTGAAATGGCTATGGAGTTTCGTGTCACTACATGCGTTAGAATTATGCATACACAATCAAATAATGATAGACATTCTTTCCGTCCTAAAATTATTATTTGATTTGGAATTTTACTTTTAATATAGTTTTAAATAAAAATAAAAATTTAAATTGGAGAAGAATTTTGGGACGGAGAAAGTATAATATACTGGCCGAATCATGACATGGGCATACAAGTATGCATGATTATAGATTTGTTTGAGGGAATTGTTTTTTCTTAAAATGATTTATTCAATTGATGATTCAAATTAGCAGTAATGGTAATTTTGGACATTGAGTTTGTAATTGTTTGTATAAAAAAAGTATTTATAAACTTTTAAACTACTCCATTAGTTGCTTAAGTCTAATAAGGTACCGTGCCAAGGTTTTCAATGGAATGTAATATGTTTATGTGGTACTTTTCTGAATATTTATTTCATTGTTTCCTTTTCATTAAATTTGTTAGTATTCTTTTTCTTTTTCTTTCTTTTTTTTAGTTTTGATTGTTTGAAGCGAGATTGACTTAATACATTTGTGCATTCATGAGATGGGGACCTTTTCGAGCCACCCCCTGTAGGGCTTTTTTTCTGAGCTATCGTCATTTTCCTGACGTAGCTCCTTACGTAACAATGTAGTGCGTAATACTTACTATTTGTTAACATCTATTATCGGTTATATAATAGCCTCCAACCATTATTGTTCCAAACATTTCAGATTTTAAGTTTACTTGATCAAATTATTAATTTCAAAAACTTGCATTAGCTAGTAAAAAAAATATGGTATGTAGACTATAGTTTGGATTAATCTCGTTTCTAAGTATATTGTGATCATTATTTATTTTCAATTAAACTCTGAAAAGACTATTTTGATATTCTTGACACAATCTCAAAAGTTAGGTATCATGATCACTTCCCTAAACTTTAACTCGGTTTCATAATTATTATCTGAGTACAAGGTATAAGCTCATCAAATGAGCACATGAGATATACTCCCTCCGTCCCGAAATTATTGTCCAATTTGAATTTTTATTTTTAGTACAAACTGAACTAAAAATGAAAATTCAATCTGGACAATAATTTTGGAATGGAGAGAGTATTTCTTGTTAATAATTATGCACATGAGGTGTATTGAGCGAACACGTATTACCTTAAACTCATTTACATTCGACTCTTGAAAAATGAACCTACACTAAATATAGGTGGGGGAAACCTAATGTACTCAATGCATAAATAAAACTAGAGTTGCCACCACTTTAATTATAAACTTAAGATTTGGTAGTTTGCATCCACATTCATGTACACTAAAGAACCCACTTGATCTTGATTGGACAAGAAATAAAATAAACTCTGGCCGTTTAACATTAAATTTTACGAAACACTAAGTTTATTTTCTTCATTTGTTTAAGAAAACTGAAATTTCTTTGTCTTCTATCGAACTTTGTTGTTGGTAATCTCTACCCTCTAATGGTTTGTAATTATCTAACCTGTCCCTATCAAATCCAACAATCACAAACAAACCTAGCAATTTCATAATAAGGACAAAAAATGTACCAATTCAAATATATGTCTTATAAATAAGTCCACAGACTTTTTTTCTTTTTCTTTTTTTTTTTTTTTGATTGGGTTTTAAAGGTGTTAATCTATCGCAAGTCATTTCTTATTTGTTTTCATCAAACTTAGGCAAGGATGAATAATGTTATTTCTTTTTCATATAGCAATCAATCAAGGTTATGTTTTTCTTCGAGTTAGTCAATAATGCAAGTTATTAACAATAATGCATGCAACTGCAAAGGAATGAGTTTTGGGCAGACTTGGATTCTAGATATATATAGTCCCTTCGTCCAAGATAATTATCATGTTTATTGTATTAAAATAATACAATATACATGGTAATTATTTTAGAAGAAATAATATATATCTTTTGAAGGCGTGTGCATTTTCCCTCATTATGTTTTGTCTCGTGAATTGATATCCTTAACAAGTATTTATTCCCTTATAGTTCATATTATATCTACTCAGTGACGGAACAGAGGGGTTAGGGTGGTCGATTGATCCCCCGGCCGGCCGGTTTTGGCCGAATTTTCTCTTAGTAGGATGTCCGTTAATTGAAAATTTTTAGTTTGACCTTCCGGTGATGGTTGAATAATCCTATTTTCCACTCAGCGATTTAAAAGTTCTCGTACCGTCAACTAGATGTCACCTTTCGAAAGGAGCAATTTTGAAATAATAGAACTATATATAGAAGTCTTCCAATGTTGTTTTTTCCTTATTTCACACGGTTTAAACTTTAACCTCAATCACTTTGTTCGAATAAATTCGTAAAACTAAAAGCTAAAACTTAAAATTCAATGAAATAAAATTATTCTGGGCCTGAAAAAATTCGGGAGCTAACCACATTTGAAGCAAATCAATTTCTGATATAAACTATGAAAATCATGTAATCCAGTGGCAAAACTCTATTGGGCTAACGTAATTGAACTTTGGGGCTGAGAAATCAACAGATAAATACAAAAGTTGATTTTACTATTGTACTGGGCCAATCCAAGCAGAGCACAAGGAAGCCTGAGACAATCACCCAAAAAATAATAAATTAAAAAGTTTTAATTTATCAGAATGAAGTCAAATCATCATAACGACTCCCTCTTTGCAAGGTTTTTTTTTTTTTTTTTTTTAATAATTAGGTGCAAGTGTGGAACCCTTTTTGCTAGTTAATTAAGAAGAACAATGTCCGAATCATTAAGTTTTTTAAGAGTAAAATTGCTATAGTAAATGGCTCAAACAGTTAAATTTATCTGATATGGTGCGAAAATGGTTGTTGATTGATTTTGTATGTGCTCACGAAATGAAACACTTTTTGTAAATTTAAAAATCTAGTTAGATTCTTGAAATCATCAAGTTTTGACTGTCAAACTATCCTTGGAGGCTAGAGCTGTCATTCCAATCTAGATTCAAATCGGGTAAATATTTTTTCAAGATATAAATTCTATGAACAAGTATTTAAATTTTTTTGAGCTAATTCATTTCATATTGTCATAATTATTAGTATGCTAGTTTCTTCTTTACTGAATTTTGATTGTGTTTGTGTGTCAAAGGAATATCTTCAGCTTTAGAGTGTTTCTAAACTTTTGAGAATACATTCTGCTAATGTTTTAGGTTCGAGATCAAACCATTCTCTCCAAACCCTATTTGTTCTAGATATCTTTTCTAAAGCAGAGAGAGTGTTAGTTCTCTGCAATATTTGAGTCTTTGAGAGTAAATTCATGTTTTATAAGATTCCCTTGTTTCCAAAATAATACCATTTTTTCTCCAAATCATATTTGTTCTACGTATCTTTGGGAGTCAGTTGTTAGGTTATCAAACCGGTCCTCATCAAACACACCAATATCGACCGTATAATATGTGTTTACCGTAGATTGTACAATAAAGGAGTCATAATAAAGTCTTAAAAACTAGTTTGTTATATTTTCGTGGATAAGAAACTCCTATAAATGATAAATTATTCAGTGCATACCACGTAGGATGGATTGTGCAGTCAAACACAATAATAGGGGTAAAGTAATAATTTTAGAGGGAAGAGATAATTTCTATGGGAGTTATATCACCAAAATAGGAGGTGTTTGTACTTGCTGCACTAAAAATCAGGACACAACAGTTGTACTCAATAATTTTTCTCTATAAATATAGGAAAATGATAAATATAGTGACTATATACAGTGAAAATAAATATTGACTAACTTGACCCCCTATTTTGTAGCCACTTTCCTGTAGAAATTATATTTTTCTCTTTAAAAAATTACACTTTTACCCTTAATTAGCAAAGACACATCAGTCACTATTAATTTTCACTATATATTTTCACTATACATTTTCATTGGTTGTATCATTTCTGATAAATATATATGATATCATATGATCCAGCACGTTAAGTCAAAGTCTAAACCCAACTGCGGCGTTTCGAGCCATTATAACTTCCCTGGCCTAGAAACACCGAAGACGCCAAACAATCCGCTAATCCAGATTAACCAGAAACTATAGATTATAATTCCCCGTTTTAGACTCTGTCTCCTCCTCTACAGCTCCCTGTTTAATGTCACGTGACTAAACCCCTGAATATGTAGGAAACTCACATGATCTAATTGAACATATATCACTCTGACAAAAACACACATGCACGCCCTCACATAGTTTATGACTGGTCCTTTTACGGGTAACTGTTGCTTTCTCCTTAAACCAAATTCATGAATCTAATTTATTTTTTCTTGGTAACAAAAACACACGCCCACACACACTCACTACACATGATATTGTCTCTGTTCATTGATCTTACGTATAAACAACATATCTCCCTTTACCTAATACAGAGTAATCTCCAGTTAACCTTAACAAACACAATAGAAAGTACATTTCAGCCATCTTGAATTCAACAATATTTAGAAAATATTACATTTTTAATGTCTCAAAATAATTATGTTATTTGAAAAATTGATTTTTAGTACAAAAAATATAAATTCTAACTAGACAATCATTTCGAGATGGGAGGAATAATGCTCACTACGTAAATGTTAATGTTGTAAAAATTTGCCCCTGGGTTGGGAAACTTGGTTGACAAACAAAAGATTTGACTCAAACAAATTCATTGTTTTCAACTAGTTGATGAATACATGGTTAAATTAGTACTATATTGATGAAATGATGATCATTTCGATTAAAATATAAGGTGAGAGGAAAGTTTAATCATTGTGAAAATTACAAACACCTTATTAGCAAGAAACAAGAACATTGGAGTGAAAGTTGGTGACTCATATTGGTTAAATTAGAAGTATATCGATGAAAGGATGATTTTGATGCAGACATAGGGTAAGAGAAAAGATTAATCCTTGTGAAAATTACGAACACCCCATCAGCAAAATCAAAATCCAATATGAGTCACCAGCTTTTACTCCATTGTTCTTGTTTCTTTAATTTAATTTTCTTGTGATTGAAACGATTATTAGGTTGTTTCGTCCGTTTTTGTGGATAGACCCGACTTACCACTTGCTAGTGGTAGTCAGTATAAAATTTCTTTATTGGCCAACTTGAAAACGTTCTAGTGTTTTTCGTATCATAGCAAATGTGATTACGTTATTGATGTCCTGGAAATTTTTACCCTTTTCTTGGAGGAAGGAACGACGAGGGGAATTGATGGAAGGTGTTAATTCGTTTGATCCAAAAGAATGGTGGGCAATTCTGTTCCTCACCTATGCCGGTTTTGTGCAATAAGCATGGATCACTTGGATTAAGACATAAAAATTTGAATGGACAACGTGGTATCTAGTAGGATTGCCAGCATACATTAATGCATTGTGCCTTTCAACAACATACTTGGAGACCAAGATATGGTACTGTTATGTTTCAATCTAATAATTAACGAGTAAAATATATAAATATCACTCTACTAATTTCGTTAACAAATTCTTTTATTGGTCCGTTTGTACAACAATTTTTTTTACGAAAACAACAATTACTCTCTCCATTTTAAAAATAATCATGTGTAGCGTAGCAGTTTAATTTTCATAAACAAAAATATATTTTAGAGCAAATGAACGAGAGTAACTTTTTATTTAACCCCAATGACATATCAAAACAAAAGAAAAACACACAAAATGTCTGTCCTTAGAAGATCGGTGTAATAACTAGTAGAAATTACTCTATTCTTTTTTAAAATAAAATTTTTAATTATTTAATTAGTGAATAAATCGTACTCTTATTTTGAGACTGAGAAATACTAAAAGGCATGAAGTTGATGTACATCCATGGTCTTACATTCTCTCATTGTGAAGTCATAAGTACGCAAGAAATCCCCTTGCTTGTGGAGCCTTCAATTAATATTGAAATCCTTCAAAAAAGCAAATCAAAACAAGAATACTTGGGGGGGGAAAAGGTTGATATGATCGACTCAATTATGGGGTTGTGCCATTTTTCAAACATCTTTGGAAGGAAAATACAAAAAGGCGGAAGTTTCCGTGAGCCAATAATATTGAATTTCATAGTCAATACCTTTGACTATGTGACAACATAAAACGTGAAGAAAGGAAAAAGAAAATGGTTAGGGTTTTTTTTTTCCTAACCTATTTATGCGTTCATTTGGATTTGATTTTGTAATTTTATAGCCAATGAAGTAAAAAAGTAATTGGATTTTAGTGTCGGTCCTTTAAGCTCATAATAATCTATTGACTTACACTTTTTAGAATTCTTTCTACACAGATTTTGACTTTTGTGCGTGTGCATTCTGCCTTTTTCTAAAATGGATTTCAGACAGTGAAATTTTGATAAAACAATGTATTCATTTCGTTCCAAAAAAAATTGTGTATATTACTCTCTCCGGTCCTTAATATAAGGCATTTTGATTTTGTTATAGATTTAACTTAGTACGTATTTTTAATTGACAAAAAAATCTTAAAAATATATTTTACGTTTGTTATATTCTCTTGATTGTTATGAAACATTTTTAAAGTTTTTTTTTTGTCAATTAAAAATACGTGCTAGGTTAAATCTATGATAAATCAAAATGCCTTATCTTAAGTACCGGAGGAAGTATATTGGATTGAAAACATAATAACATGATTTTTTTCTTTAAGAGGTGAATCTGTTTAATTTTTGTATGAGTTTCTTGGCTGTATCTTAAAAAGTGTCGATTTATTATTGTTTCGTTTTAATAGCAAATGCCAAATGGTAATGGCGGGGCCAAAGTGACCAAAATGTGTGATGTTGTGAAGAGAAATTAAAATGACGAAAAATTCCGTAGTAAGAATTTTGGCCCACATGATTAGGAAATTTGAGTTATGGGTTACATGTGCAATTAAACTTTTGAAAAATCTGCTTTTTGATGATTACAAATCAATTAGCTTATCAAAGCTCTAGCTTACTGGAAGAAAGTAAAGGGACCTAAAGTACAGTATTTAGTGATGATTAATTAGGTGATTACCAACTGCCAAAACTAGCTTAATGATCGATGCCCTATATTGGATTCTTCAATTGGATAAATTGACAAGAAACCGTACCCTAATTAATTATTTCGATTAGCACTAATAAAATTAGAGTATCAATTGATGTATTCTCGAAGCATTCACATTAGATTATAGATATGTGGAACAGTTTTTGCACTAAATGCATGAAAGTTCAAGGTGGAGAAACAAGTAATTCTCGCGAGTAATTATCGATATAATCATTTTCGCATAATGTAACTCTTTTAAATATAATAATTTGATCTCTCACTAATATAACTCATTAGCGATCAACCGCAATATTATTATCATTTTAATACACGATTCTAATTTTAAAAGTTACAAAATCTTATGTGAAACGGTAGTTATATACAATATCGTTATGATAAAGAGCATTTTTAATTAATTCAATCATCTTTCTTGTGCATTAGTATGAAAATGAAGCTAACCCCAAAAGAAATGCATATCAACAAGAAAAGGGTTGTCAACATTATTCCTCCATTCTTTCTCTCCACATTCATAACCACAATTAAAGGTGTGTCATCTTATCCATCTACCAAAGCTGTATAGGTAAAAAGGTTTGTTATTGAACTAATCAGTTGAATTAGATAAGAAACAAAGATCACTCATTTACTCCATAGTAGGTTAACCATAAAGCTTGGAATACCATCCAAGAAATCATAATAATTAAGTGGGAGATCCAAATCACATATTTTGTGGTCCTTGTTTCATTTTTTGTTAATTTAATCACCACTTCATCATTCTCTTTTTGCTTCTTCCTTTATCAACTTGAATTAATCAACACAATTTGTAGCGGAGAATTTTGCAAAACAATCATTTTAAAACAGACAGAGTACTGAATCACACAGTCTTCATTATTCCACATAAATTTTGCTCTCTGGTCCTTAGAGACTCAATATTGATTGATTACACCAACAATTTTTCTAGCTTCCTCTTAAAATATTATTTAAAAAAGAATGATTAAATAGATATTCTTGATGAAAAATGGAAGTAATTACTACTCAATTGATCAAAGCATTCAAAAAACAGATTCAGATGAGGGTACCAAAGATTGCTATACAAGAATCGCAATATGGTGTTGCTGTTGCCTTCTAAATCAGGGCATCTAAAGAAACCGTGTTGCTGTGTCTGATACATGCGGGCGCAACCGCGGACCACTTTGTTTAAGTGGAGAAGGACTATATCAGTCGAATACATCCGTCAATCATATCATATTTAGTGAGATTAAATATTAAATAACTTTTTTTTTTTTGCAAAAATTTTGATATATTATTGATGAATTTGTATCATTTCACTGATAAAATACATCGTCTTTTGTGGCACGAAATTGGAGCATGGGAGGGCCTTGTTCTTGCATCCTCTACGCCCACAAATTAATTAATTAAGGCATGATAGTATCAATCATACTGTGTGGACGGTGGACCGCTGCCTTGTACTAAAAAATATATGATCCCCAACTACGTATTTAATATTGTTAGGCCACACCATTCTGTTGTACGAAACTGCAAAAACAAGTTGAGCTTCTGAGGTGAAAAAACTAGTAAAATGATTTCTTGCCAACCTAAGATTTCTTAATCGAAATTCAAAGGAAAATATACACCAACTACGCGGATTAGTGTCAGAACTGTTACAGCCTGAAAAAACTATTCATTTCATATACACAACTTTATAATAAGAAAAAGGCCTTATTGGCCACATTTTCACACTTGTTTTCTCCTATAAATGAATGAATCTTCTACATCCTGTGTTATAACTTTACTCTAGGTATGAATTAATTTGAATTTGAATGTGATGTATGATATATAGGATAATTCACGGTATCCAAATTAAGAAAATGTATTTCACAAATAAATTATTACACAAAGACGTGAATACTGTTGATTCATGTAAAATCGTTATTTTGATATCCTAAGAGATTAATTGTCGTACTCTAATTAGGAACACAAATGAACTAATTATACTTCTATTTTACTCGCTCTGTCCTAAAAAAAGAGAATGGGGATCGTAATAATGTATTAGTCCGTCAAACATGGTTTTTCTTTTCTCCCGTATAACTTAGAGAGCATTTACAAAATTCATAATTAAGTGCATACTCTTCCTATTCAGATTTCACTTTTTCCTCCGTGTAGATTACCCCTATAGTTGGAAGGATATTGTGCCCTTAAATTGACTTTTTTTTTGTTTTCCTTCTTGTACTTTTTGGCTTGAATTCAATTTTGGCTTACCAGCTTTTTTCCTCTCCACCAGTACAAACCCTAAGTAAGTAATCTTGAAATGACACAACTTTTATTCCTATTAATTGCTTTTCCCTCTGTCTCTATGTTCCTATATACCCATATCTCTTGCTGACAAATCTTTTTCCCATTTGTAATATACCTGACCATCTTCTTCTTCTTCTTCTTCTTCTTCTTCCTCTGCATGTGCATTCAATAAGATCTAACCATAAAAAAACTTCTTTTAAACAATTCCTTCAATGGATCCCATCTCCCAGAAAAAATACTTCTTCCTTGAGTCTCAATCTCTTCCTCCTCCTCCTCCTCCTCCTTCTTCATTTTTGGGTTCATCTTCATCATCACATTTATCACCACATCACTCTGGTTTTCCAATCATAGCTGTTGCCATTATAGGTATATTAGCCACGGGCATTTTGTTAGTCAGTTACTATGTTTTTGTGATCAAATGCTGCTTGAATTGGCACAGGATTGATCTATTACGCCGGTTTTCGGTGTCGGGAAGACGCAGTGGGGAGGACCCTTTAATGGTTCATTCACCAGCAGCTGAAAACAGAGGACTTGATGAAGCTGCAATCAGGGCAATACCCATTTTTCCATACAGAAAAGGGAGGACAACAAAACAGGGGAGTGGTGAAAAGGTTTGGGAAAGGAATGATTCTGAATGTGCGGTTTGTCTTAATGAATTTCAAGAAGAAGAGAAGCTGAGAATCATACCAGATTGTGCTCATGTTTTTCATATTGATTGTATTGATGTTTGGCTTCAGAACAATGCAAATTGTCCACTCTGCAGAACAAGTGTTTCAGCTAACAGAAGGCCTAATTTGGATCAAATCACAGCTCGAATCAATTCGTTGTCGCCGCGAGATCCGAATCGATACAGGGATAATTTCAATGGAAGGGATGAAGATTATGTTGTGATTGAAATCAGGAACCAGGAGCTGATTCAAAATCATGCTGAACAATCATTGCTTAGAAGTCAAGAAAGAAGATTGAATAATAATACAGGGGAGGAAGAAGAACAGAGCAGCAGGGAAGTAATTAGTCCTTCACCAAGAAAGTTGGAACAACAGAAATCTGTTTCCAAGAAGAAGAAGAAATTGAACCATGTTTCAAGCATGGGGGATGAATGCATTGACATCAGGAAAAAAGATGAGAAATTTACATCAATTCAGCCCATTAGGAGATCTTTCTCAATGGATTCAGCTTCTGATGCCCATCTTTATTTAGCAGTTCAACAGATAATTAATCAACACCAGAATCAACTCAATGAAGTGATTAGCCCCGTTGAAGGTTCCACCAGCAGCAGCAGAGTAATTAAAAGATCATTCTTTTCTTTTGGCCATGGCAGAAGTTCAAGAAGTGCTGCTGTTCTGCCTCTCCATGTGGAGCCATTTTCTTAGCTAAATTCTTCATTTACTTTTTTTTTTTTTTTTGTTTCTTTTGCTTTTCATTTTTACATATAGGGTAATTTCTTTTAGAATTGCCATCGTGATAGACAGACATAGAGTTATAGAAAAAATTGGGTCTGTTAAGGTACAGGATAGATAGTTCATATTGTACAAAATTGAGGTTCAATGTGAAGGAAAATGAAGGCATTTCCATAGTTTCAAAAGAAAATGAGAATTGTGATTAAATGGGATGACCAAAGTGTTTCCTTTCCAAAGGGGACCAAGAGAAGTTGATATTGCATTAGCTACTGATATTCAAAGTTGGGATTTTTGTCACATTCAATATCTGCGGAACGATTACGTTTATTAAGATAAATCGTTTAGAATAAAATTCATCTATCTTATACGAATTTTTGTTTTAATCTAATAGTACGATTTATAATGCAATTTCAATAGCATGACTTTTATTATGAAACAGTGGAGTACGCAAAATACTAGATTAGTACTATAAAGTAAAAACTCTAGGCAACATAGAACCTACGAACTTGATAAATGCTGGTTAGACTTTTGTTTGAACTTTGAAGAACTTCAATGCATAATCACATTAAGGCTGGATTGGACCACTAAACTAAATTTTTGACTTGACATCAATGATTATAAGCAATCATTGTTTGTTTTAACAACCAATTTGTCTCACCTTTTTTTTTCCCGTTAAAACAATTTCAAATTGATCATGATTGAGCTAAGAAATTTCTGTTCTATCATCTATGAGGATCAAGGGTGCAAAGAAATTGAAAAAGATGAAGAGAACCTTCTTGTTGGGTGTTGATTCGTTTGGTATAAATTGCATTTAAAGAGAGAGTTAAGGTTCCTATCCTATTGCAACAATGATTAATGATTCCATCAAAACCCTTTTTTTTTTTTTGGGCTTCAATTTTTTAATTTTCTTCAATAATTTTATTGTTGGTAACAGAAAGATGGTTCAGTTTTAAATGAATTCATTTTTAAGCTCTTGGTGAGATTCCAAAGCCTATGGAATACCTTAACAGGTTTGCATATTCAACTGCAGAATACAGATGAGCAAGTTGAAGACTTCAAGAAAATAAAATAAAAATGTTTGGATAGAGAATCTAAAGGTCAATGTGTCATAGAACATCAGTTGATTTCATAGAGACAGACGATCTTCACAAAACCAAACAAAATAAAAAAAAATACAAAAAAAATTTAATACTAATATCTATGGATTGGAAAATAAAAAATTAGAAGGGGAAATTAAGGGGAAGGGCATGAAAACAAATCGCATTTGTCAAAACTGATACTTTTCCACCAGTTGACTGACAATTAGTCAGAGTGCGATGTGTCCAAACTAAAGACATACAGTATATAGTAAAAATGGTCAGTATCAAATTTTATGAATCATAATAGCAGTTTCATGCTCGCCAATTACTTTTTTTTTCCCCCTTGGACTCTGAAAGTTTATGTTTGTTTCGTTTTTTTAGTGTGTGTTTTTAGATATTTTTTGTATTGGAAATGTAAAAATATATATTAAAAATGTAAAAAGGTATGCTAGGATGAAACAGTTATTATTATTTAATTCTGAAAAAAACCAACTAAAAAAGAAAACAAACAGAGCTGCGATTGTCATTAGATTTGAGATCTTTTTGGTTACTATGGATTTATGATACTTTTTATTTGATGTAAAATAATTGAAAATTTTATCTATAATGGTTTGTCCAATGGAACTATACAACTTCAAAGAGAAAATAGTTTTTTATTTTTATTTTTATTTTTTTTAATTAATTTTTGGAACTCCTGGTGCAGGAGACGTCAACACCCTCTCAACTTTAATTGAGCCATGAAAGTAATTTTTTTTATACGGAGTAGTTTACATAACTTCTCTTATTAAGATCCGCAATTCAAACCCAAAAATCTAAATCGTTGAGTTCTAACTCATAATGAACAATAATATTAGTTAATCCTAGGTAGGCTTAGTGGCCGCTTCAAGACCATGTTACAGGTTTGTGCTTCGTCAGCTTAATTACAATTACAATCTTAATGAGATTTTATATTTTTAATTAAGTAATACAATTGGTTACTTTGTATTTTCATGAGTCCCATAATCATTTTATTTGATAAACTCATTATTTGTATCATTTCCCTACTTTTAACCTATCCAAGAAAAATTACTCTGTAAAATAATAAAAACAAATGGTTAAACTAAAAAGAAAACTATGTATATGATGTTAGGAAAAACATGTTTTCGATAGCCACTAAAAGCCTAAAACTAACAAAACAAACTCTTTTTTATTGAGCTCATCTTAAACTTACCATATTGAAGGACTCAATCAACATTTAATAAAACCACAAGGGTGTTTAAGCTATTTCTCTACTCTATACATGAACACAGAATGTAAACTGAAAACTGACCTGGCAGAACAATCAAATCTTTTTCGTCCTCGGATAATCTCACACACTCACACACACGAGCGCTGCTTTTGCAGAGTAAGGAAACCATGAAGATCATGGTACCCATTAAGCGGGTCGTCGATTATGCAGTCAAAATCCGGGTTAAACCCGACAAGGTAAAGAGTTAAAACAAGCAAAATTCATTTCCCGGAAATGATCCATTTTTTTCATTCTTCAAATTGATTGATTGGTTTTAGCTTGGCAGAGTGGCGTAGAGACTAGCAACGTTAAGATGTCGATGAACCCATTTTGTGAAATTGCATTAGAAGAAGCGGTTCGGATCAAAGAAGCGGGTCTGGCTTCGGAGGTAATTGCTGTCAGTATGGGTCCGGCCCAGGTTGTGGACACTCTTCGAACCGGGTTGGCAATGGGTGCTGATCGGGCTATCCATGTAGATTATTCGGGAACCCTTTATCCTCTATCGGTTGCAAAGATTCTTAGAGCTCTTGTTGAGGTCGAAAAGCCTGGGCTTCTTCTTCTGGGCAAACAGGTTTTAATTTGTTTATTTTTTTGGGTCATTTCTTGTTTTGGATCTTTAGCTATTTGGAACTTTTTTGTTTTCATCCTTCTCTTTTTAATGGATGTTTGTTAGTTAATGCTGTTGTAGGGTAATTGTAATATCTTATTGTATTAGCAAATTTTACCTGGAAGAATGTTACTGGTACCTTAGACTTTGGATGTGAAAAGGTGATCATGGGAAATGAATTAAATGGTTGGCCTAGTTTCAAGCCTTATGGAATGCTTATTTTAGGTTTCTGTGATGCATTTCCATTTTCCATTGAATAGGACTTTTTGGGTCAGCTGTTGGCTACATGGGACCGGAATGTATGTAGAAGAATCCATACTATTCTGTAGTTTATAAAAATTTTGACTCAGACCTAGTTTCTGGGAATTGTAAGTTCTGTGAACTGTTCTATTTTCTCAGAGTGCAACAATAGTTAATCTTGATTGAATGTTATGGCTACAGTAGATAGATGAACTTCCAAGTCTTACGGTTATGTGTTGCTTGATTGTCAAAGTTCTTTGTGGACTCCTTAATGACTCGTCTTGCTGAACTTGTCTGCAGGCTATTGATGATGACTGTAATCAGACAGGTCAAATGATTGCAGGACTTCTTAAGTGGCCACAAGGAACCTTTGCATCCAAGGTTGGGCTTTTAGTTTAGATGTGCAGTTTCCGTTAATATGAAACGCTTCACATAATCATTCTCATGTTGTTTTTGACTTCTACAATATCAGCTATCGTTCTTGTTTACTGATTGGAGGACTCATTTCATCCATCAATTCTTTTCCATTTGAATGCACCATTTTCTTTATATTCTTTTTTTTTTTTTGGGTAATGATTTGTATCTTTGATTCTAGTCAACCATAGGAAGTCGAACTGTTATTTGTCCATTGATTCAAGGGGTTTAATTTCATAAGGTGTCATGTTTTGAGAACCTCATAGCAGAATCTTCTTCTTTATAACTATCTTCTTTTAGGTTGCATCTCCTTTTACTTATAGATATGCAGTGTCCACTTTTTAGCTTCTTTACTTAGTTGTTTAGTATCCTAAATTTGTTGTTTTTTTTTTGTTGCTTGGCATTTTGACCAAGATCAGTTTGTGATTATGTTCTTTATGGATTTTGTTATTTAACATCACTGGTGAGAAACTACATTTTACAATCTATTCTCTAATCAATTTATGATTTTTTTTCCAGGTTGTGCTGGACCAAGAAAGGCAAACGGCTCTTGTAGACAGAGAGGTGGATGGTGGAATTGAGACTTTGTCTTTAGATTTACCTGCTGTCATCACGTAAGTCTCTCTAATTACCTTTCTGTTGCTTTTTTTTTTTTTACTTTTTTATTTTTTTATAGCATCATCGAATAAGCTGAGCTCTCCTGCTCCCTATCTTCTGTCATTTTCCAAGTTGCTATGATGAATGTGAGTATTACATATGCAACTTATGTGAGAATTTCTCTTGAAGTTTCACTGGTCTATTTTTTAGACTAGTTTTATTCTTTGAAGCAACTCAATGTTTCTGCACAAGTTATGATAAGAATAAATGGTATTCCAGGTGCCGATTTCTGAAATATTCTGTAGCTTGTGAATACCTGAATCTCTTAATTGCCTATTTGTCTAACTCTATCTTTTGATTAGAATCGGGTTTCCGTTGCTTTGATATTTTGGTGCAACTGCATTTGGTGTGTCCTTTTTGTTCTATGAGCATTTTCTGACTAGTTTTAGGGAAAATCAGATATTGCTTGGTATCAGTCCTTGCCGTTGTGGGCTGAAACTTTCTCGATTATAATACAACTAGGAAAGAGGCCTTCCGTGTCACTACTTCTTGATCATGAAAGCCAAAACATTCGGTGCTGCCTGTAACATACAATATGTATTCGCTTTTGTATTATGTCTTGTTACTTTCAGCTGAAGTTTGTGTCCTGGTGTAATGCATTACGAACTGATCATTGATCACTCTGCATCATTGTTTTCTACCATTGCAGCACGGACTTGCGATTGAACCAGCCAAGATACGCCACACTTCCTAATATAATGAAAGCTAAGTCGAAGCCCATCAAGAAATTCACTCCGGAGGATTTGAAAGTGGAGATCAAATCGGACATTGAGATTGTTCAAGTTACTGAACCTCCTAAGAGAAAAGCTGGTGTCAAAGTGTCCTCTGTGGATGAGCTAATTGACAAACTGAAGAACGAAGCACATGTCATTTAATCATTTCAAATCCTTTGGCTAAAGTAACCATAAACATTTGTCATATGGGGTTATGTATAGAGTGGTATTATGATCACCAACTGACTAACATGTCAAATTTTCATAATTGATACAGGGAATTCAAGTTGCATAATTCGTGCGACTTATTAGTTAGCATTTGCATTTTATGGAAGAGGAAAATTATGCCATCAAAGATATAAGGAAAGCTATTCTAAGAACGTGTATTTATTCAAATCATTTCATGTGGAAATTTGTCTTCAACTGGTTAAAGCAGACAACATGGACTTATTATGATCACCTCTGCAACCTAACAAAATTGTTTGCCGTGAATTTTCAATCTTTTCTCTTGTTAAGTTTATCTTTAAACTCTCTTTTCCTCAAATAAATCTCCACCTACTACCACTCTTTGATAGAAACTTTTGAAATATTACACCATTTATATTATATTATTATTTTCTGTTTAAACAACGGGAGCAATTTCATTGAATAAATGAAGAGAATTTTTTAGCGTGACAACTTAAAGTTTTTATTTTTCAAAGGTGTACGTATTCTTATAGTGATATGGAAACTATGTTTGTTTCGTTTTTTTAGTGTGTGTTTTTAGGTGTGTTTTTTTTGTATTGGGAATGTAAAAAGGTGTATTGGAAATGTAAAAAGATTTGCTGGGATGAAACAATTATTATTTAAATATTTTGAAAATACCATAAAAAAATCTAACAAACAGTAATTTTATAAAGGGAAAAATAAGATTGCTGACACGCAAAAAATCTTTGAAACAAATGCTTCTTCTTGATTTAGACTAACAATCTAACTTTTACATAGAAACAGTGAAAATTCAAAATTTAAAGTGAAAATAAATAGTGATTAGAAAGAGATAAAAAACATCAAAACACTATTAAAATATAACGAACATAGTGAGGGGAAGTTACGCATTTACATTTACACCACACTATTTTCCTTAACTATCTATTTTTACTATACATACTATTATCCCTTTTACCCTATTAAAGCAGAAGACATGAAGCTTATGTGACAATTACGTATGCATCTGTTTTGGCTCCAATGCACCATATTTCAGATTTCAGGAGTCTTTTTGGCACGTGTAAGTCTCTTTTAATTAGAAGTTATATAATTCTTTTTTTAAAAAAAACACATGTTTTAGATGTGACACTTATCCAATGAAAAAATTTTACAAATAAGAATCAGTTACATTTCAAACGAATGGATATATTAATTCAAATTCAAATGTTCAATCGTACAGTTTTGCAGGCTTAATATAAACAAAAAATAAAAAAAACCTAAATCCAGTAATTAAGAATAATGCATTATAAACTAATTATTTATTATTCCCTTATAACCTCAGATTTATAGGTTTATTTTTAAGCCCCAAACCATAGCATAAATGATATATACGCTAAATTAATTCCTCAAAAAATAGTAATTCAATTAGATTTTAATAAAATAGTAATTTAGAAGGGGCGCCCGGGCATCTGCCTGGGCCAAACATCTAGTTTTCGTTATAGTATCTTACTATTACTGTATAATTTTTTTTTGCAAAGGAGTATTGTCTTTTCTTCAAATGATTAATGAGGATACAGTATAAAATATACTATTATTTATGACCTGGATTTTGTTGCATTTACTTGTATTGTCCCAAAAATTAAAAAATTTCCCGAAAAATAAAAATAATTGTCAAATTATCAAAATCATATCAAGAATCTAGTCATCACCGCGGCGACGCTACAAGTCTACGAAGAGCACTTACAATGGCACATCACAATTGACCCTTAATACGTACACGTGTTCAAATATTATTGGCCGCCACCCTTAGCAGCGAATCCCCAGCCTCGTGACCCTTCATTTCTGCCACCATTATTAGAATATCATTAAAACTTCCTCAATCCCTTCCAATAACATATCAGGGTCCAACCCAGCCAATTTGCTAAAAACGGAATCTGTGTCGTCAGGGTCTAACAATCAGAATTTATTGAGGTGAAATCTGTTACCAAGATCGGATTTTTGATAAGAACCCATCCCAAAAAGGGGAAAATTTCTTTGTGATAATTCGGCCAAGATCACATTTTTATTGGTTTTTCTGGGCTAGAATTTCGAGCCAGTTGGGATTTAGTTGAAGTTTTGTTAGCTTTTGATGGATAGGGGTGGTGATATCAATTGTTGTGATAGTGCTTGGGATGACCCTGAATTGAATTACATTCAAAGCATATTGGTTGATGTTGGTTTGCCCGAGACTGATGATCCCTATTCCTATTGGAATCAACCTGCCCCAAGGTAGTTTTCTTGGTTGATTTCTCTCTATGTTCCTTCTCTTTTATCTTTCTTTTTTGTTCTGAGTGTATTATTGGAGGAAAGTTTTGATGTTGGTTTGCATGCAGATGCTGTTTTATTTGGTTTTATGTTTCTGGATTTTCTGTAGTTGTATTGATTTGATTTATGCTTTTCTGAGTCATATTTTATCCTTGGGAATGAGTTGATTTTGTGTGCTATCTTTTTCCTTTGACCCTGGAAGAACTGAAGATGAAAGTATAAGCCTTTGGGACTGAATGGTGGTTTCTCTAGCTGTTTGGATTTCAGTTTCTTTAGTAGTATATTGAAAAGTTTTGGTAAATAGAACTAGCCTTATATATGTAGTTTGACTGTGGGTAATATGATATAGGAAGTGGAACAAAACAATTTGTGTTTGGCAGTGTTGTCTGGTTTCTTCTTTCATCAATGTTTACCATGTGAAGTGTGGACTAAAAATGTGAAAAGCAATCAATCTATACACATATCTTGCCTCTCAACCTGTATAAGATAGACACCATGATTTATTGTGAAGTTGCCGGGTGTACAACACGATGAATTATCAATTGTTAATTTGAGAATTTAAGGACGAGTATAAACTTCTTTGCTTGACTGATGGAAATTTGCACACTCCTTGTCGTTGGTAGGAACTTTTAATGTACCCTGTGTTGCATGGTTTCTTTTCTGTCATTTAGGGGAATTCCTCCCTCCCCTCCACACATATTTTTGGGCTCAACAAATCTGAAATGGAACAAGTATGATTAACTTTTTTTCTCCTCACTTGGGATGTTAATGTTAGTTTACTTACACCTTTGAGTTGTTTATGTGGTGTATATCTTTCTAGAAGGACAACATGGCCTGTATGATTTATACATTGTCTAAACAGTTGCAGACCTATTGCGGAGATTGATGCGTCTCTTTCTGGTGCTACATCCCAAGACAAGGAAAGCACTGAAGTAGAATGCCCACGGAAGAGGTGTGTAGTCGCAAAGGATTTATATTGCATTCTATCACAGCTGATTTAAATTGGAACAACAGCTTGGCAGAAAACCAGCTCTTCTATTTGTGGTTATCCTTCTGAGCCTTGGGGCCTGGGAAATCATTATCTTGCGTGCAATTTTTTTTTTATTTTTATTTTTTGGTTTCTGGTGGTTAAAGATTTTGGATTTTCCTCCCAAACCATTGGATCAATGCATGTATTTGTGATCTATGATCGTGGCATATCCATATATAACTGAATATGCAATCCTTCAGTCATATTTTTCTATTTTAAATCAGTATGGATTGACTGTTTTGCAGTAATCCTTCATTTTGTCTGGGTATGAGGTTCCTTTGGTTGACTCTTTGGTCTTTGTCTTTCTGAACATCATACATAAAAAATGGAACTTTTGCCCCGCTCTTCTAAAAGTGAAGCATCAAATTTTGCTTGCACACGATGTTTAAACTTTCAAAAACTTAGTCAAGTGGGATAGTGGTCGATGGCTTTACTTCTGTATTATAGTTTTTAATCTTTTTAAATTAATATAGTTCTTAAAAATGAATATACAGGGGGCGAGGAGATGCTGCTTGCAGTAAAGTTGGGAGCAAAGCTTGTCGTGAGAGATTAAGGAGAGAGAAACTGAATGAAAGGTTGCTGCACATTGAAATTATACTTTTAGAAATAATATTGATAACCTTGAGATTTCTCTTCTGTTTTTCTTTTTCCTCTCCTCCTGAATGGCTGACTTTATTGTCAATCTTTCTTGTCATTGGTCCTGAGTGCCTTTGGCCTATGGGGTAAATGGGGAGTATTTAGAATACAGTAGACTGTTGAAAATATTGGATCTAAACATTAAACATTTATTCTACATTTTCTGAGGTAGTTCAGATGCCAACGTATCTTGATTGCTTTAAGTTCAGCTATTCGAGAAGTTGTTTCTTTGAAGCTGTTTATGTTCTGTGGTTTCATCTGAATGGACTGCCTGCTTGTCCATTCCTCCTTACTATGATTGTTGGAGCAGTATATCTAGCTATCTGGACCAACTGATGGCTTACTGTTTTGTTTCCCATTCTGCTCAAAGGAAAACATATTTGGTGACATATTCTCTCTTAAGCTGTAGCACTCTAATAGATTTTTGGAGTACCATAATTAGTTAGTGTTACCTGATAAGAATCTTCTCCCTTCCTACTCCAGATTTGCTGAGTTGTGCTCTACTTTGGAACCTGGGAGGCCTGTAAAAACGGACAAGTTAGCTATACTGGGAGATGCTATACGAGTGGTGAGCCAGCTAAAATCTGAAGCTCAAGAGTACAAAGAGTTGAATGAAAAGTTAGCTGAAGAGATTGAAACTTTGAAGGTCAGCTCATGATTGTAGAAAAACTGTCTTTTTTTTTTCCATTTTTTTTTTTTTGCAAGTAGTACTGCTGCTGCACCCATTTATTTGTTCTCTTGTGCCATTCATGAGCTTGCAAGATGATCCGTCAGTGATTTATGTTTAACTTACTAAGAGAAAAAACTATTATATCTGTTTGGAGTTGTACAATTCTTTCTAGTGTGACTGCACGTGTAATATTCATGAAACTTGTCAAACCCTGGGTTGAAAGGACTATTGATGAACCAAAGAGACATGAACTACCCCTATTACCAATATGTCTTTTGAAAAGAAGTTGTCAGTTATGTAATGACATTTTTGCATCTTCATCTTTTAATTAGGCTGACAAGAATGAACTCCGTGAAGAGAAACTTATGCTGAAGGCAGAAAAGGATAAGATGGAGCAGCAGTTGAAAGCCATGTCCGTCCCAACGGTTCCACTTCCCACTCCCGGTTTCATGGCACCTCATCCTGCTGCTTATCAAGCTGGAATGAACAAGATGGCTGTTTATCCTGGATACGGTTTTGTTCCAATGTATCAGTATCTGCAACCACCATCTCGTGATGCATCTCAGCCTTCTCAGGATCATGAGTTGTGGTCTCCTGCAGCTTAATATAGCTCTTGCAAGACGAGATCTGGAAAGCTTAGGACGACCTTTTTTGGTATTCAGGAATGTCCTATGCCCTAATTTTGTAAATACAATGGTGACATTCTTACTTCTCTTTTCAAGTTAGATCCATTCCATAATTGGGAGTTTCCGTGTCATTTGGAAATGTAGCGGATAGTTATTAACAATTTAATCGGACGGAATTTTTGGTATCATTTCCAGTTAGATCCGTACCGTAATGGAAGTTCATTGTCTTATGAAAATGTACCGGAAAGTTATTAAGAATTTTATGGAATGAAGTTTGTATCTTTTCCAGTTTTAGCTTCTGGAAGTGCAGCATTCACTTTTGTTGCTGTTGATTTTTGTTGTTGAAATTAGAAATGTTGGAATATCTAAACGGAAAAAATTATAGCAGTCATGTCCAAAGAATTATAACTGTTATTCTTGTGGATTATGTGTGACTAGACAATATTAAGAACCATGAAGAGACAGAAAGATAACAAAACGTCAAGATGAGTTCAATAGTACTGCAAAACTGCTGCTAGTCTCTTTGTAACATTGGAAGGAAATTTGAAAGTTTATACTTAGTGTATTCACTGCAAGCGGATTTTCTTCTCTTTTCAAGCATGGATCTTTTCTCGTTTAATGTGATCTTCTGTTACTCTTTGCACAAAGTGGCAATATGATCAACGGTATCTTTCAGATCTAAACTCATGGTTCTCCCTTCTGGAAATCTAAATCAGCAGTGATGTTTGGTTTCTTCATCTCCTCTGCCTGCTGTTGGATGCCTTCCTCATTCGGATTAATTTGTGCCTTTTGATCGGCTTCTTTACCCCACAAGAGCAGGTAAAGGCCTAAAATGATGACAACCCCGCCTACAATGCTGCAAACAAAACAACAAAGGTCAGTATAGAATTTCATGTTTTCATTTAAGAGGACAGCAATGGCCATAGGATTGATGTTTCTATTCACCTACCTTCCTGCATATAGCTTTTCTCCAAGAGCAAAATAGGCCAAGATTGCCACCAACAAAGTAGATAGTGGATTAAACATTGTGACGAAAACTGGTCCTTTTTGTTCAGTGCACCAGAGTTGAATGAAGATCACTATACCAGAAATTACTACTCCCTGAGATAATTTGAAGTTTTAGTTATAAGGGTAGCACTATGTAGTTCAATTTAGCTGAAGATATTGGACAATTTAAACCTAACTTACTCCATATATGGTAGACCAAAAATCAATGTCGAAACCAATGGTCCAAGCAGCTCTTTTATGTTGCACAATAACTGTATAAACTGCTGATTGTGCTGCGCCAACAAAATTCATCCATGTTGTCAGGGACAACTGTGCTGGATATCTTTTCAGGGTGTAAGCCTGCAACAGTATTCAACATCCATCAGTAAGATGCAATCTTGATTTCCTCATAAAAGGTAGTATCCGAATGAACAAGAGTTAAATCATCAACCTGCATTATGTACCATATGGACAAGGTTATGCAGCTTGCTACAGTTAAAATTGATCCTATCACCCAGTCTTCTTGGATTTCAGAATTGCCTTTCAGATTGACAATTGGATGCCATGGAGGATTCTTCAGTATAGGTCCCTTGTATAATGTCATGGTCATGACACCAGCCAAAGAAACCAATGTCCCCAGGACTTTTGCTATTCCCCGAGGATTATGCAGATCAATGACCTCAAGCCTGCAGAAACAAAAAGGTTAAATTCTTCCTTTGCATTCATGATTCCGAACCAAGATGAATGCGGAATAATAGATATTTCTCATTGGTTATGTACAATTCGAATATTTCCTACCTGAGTATGATTGCAATCACAAAAGTCAGGGAAGCTATGGTGTTGACCACTGATGCAAGAAATGAAGGATTTGTAAGCTTCAAGCTTGCAAAATACATGTTCAGGGTCAAACCGACTCTGAGATGGATCATTCAAAGTAGTGAGGTTAAGTTATTGAACACATGAAGATTATGTTTGAAAATAAACATGCAAAAATCTTACCCCAGAAGAGAAAGAACAAAGATCTCCAGGAACAGAGCTACTGTCAACTTTGGTCTTATTTTTCTGCAAATACATTTAAGGCCATGCATTTTTAGCAAGAGGGCTAACTCATCTAAACAAGAACTTAGCTTTTCAACATTCATTAACTCACTTCTCAAGAAAGTAGGCAAAGGGCAGGATCACCAATCCAGCAACTATGTGTCTGTAAGTTATGTAGACATGAGGATTCATTCCATGGTTGAATGAAGCCTGTGTGATGAAGTACAGAAAGGTGTAGCCAATCTGTGCTAAAACCATAAGAATGTGAGGCTGGAATCGCCTGCAACCGGCGACGAAGGAAGTCACCGCCTTCGCCATAGCTGCAACTGCAATACTCTATTACACCAACACAAATATATTCGGATACTTTATATCCTAACAAGCTTTTAGAGAGAATGAGCAAGAGAATGTGATTTCGATTCGTACTGGTAAGATTGATAGTTTCTTTTTTTTGGTGAAAAAATATAAATAAGAGAATGGAGAATGCAGACAATATTATTCCAACTTTCTGTTATTCAACCTCTTTAGTTTTTTCTTATATTTACTGATATTCTGATACTGCACGCATTAGGCCAGGAACCAACGCTCTTTTTGCATCATAACAGAAACATATTTATATACGTATTATCTTGTTTTTGTGCTTGATCTTTTGCGTGAGAAAGATGTAAACTTTATTACCACAATATGATGATAATGATTATATACGATTTTATTTTATTTTTTCCTGAAATTCAATGAGCTTATAGAGAAAAAAGAACAAAACAAAGACCATCAAATTCTAAAAACTTGAGATTTTTATTCACTAAACTAGTGGATTAATAAATGAAAGTATTGGATTGGTAGCCAAAAATGTGTAAAAGGAAGAAACAGAGAACATTTTATCAGCATGCAAAAACTCTCTTCATAGATTAAATATTTGAGCACTAAAAAGCATTATGATGACTGATGACAGAAGAATCCATAATATATAACTAGAGACCTACTTCAGTACGTTTCATGATCGAATGGGCACTTAGGAACACCTTTTCCTTTTTTTTTAGTATATCTATTCGGGCACAACACGCATAAAGAATAAGCTACAAAGGAAAAACGAAAATCCATATTCCTCTCTCCCAAAAAAAAAAAATTCATATTGTGTGAGTATTATGTAATTAGGCCAAAGTGACATATGTTCACGGTCACAGGGGAATGGTATGGTTGATATGGAATCATATTCTTGATAAGTTAGTATTTAACACCTCATAGTTTATGTTTTATAGGAACAAAATTATTTAGAGCTTGAAAAGCACAAAATTTTGCAGCAAGCTAATCCAATCATACTACTCCCGTGTTTCAAAATGATTTTCATGTTTGTAACATGATAATCATTTTGGACAGAGAAATAATGCATTGATTAATCATTAATGAGACACTCAAGACCCCGCATTTTACATCACAACAAAAAGAAACGCATAAATGAGCAAGAGTCCAAGATGCAGTCTTTTTCATTGCTCCCCATTTTATGAATATAATGGTAACTTCTAGCTCTGTCTGTTGCACAAGATCAAACAATTTTAAGGCTTTCTTTTCCTTGGTTGGATTGATAATTTGTTCCTAGAAAGTAGAATGTTTAATCAACAGTATTAGGAAAAAAAAAGTTGAGAAACAAAGGAAAAGAAAAAGCTACTGGTTTTGTTAGTGGTATGAATCATCCCATATTAAACATTATACTTTTCTCTGTTTTGATGCTTCTGAGTCAGCTTGCTCTTCATGAGAATAATGGAGCCTTTCTTGTGGCGTCCCAATTGGCAGAGTGCAATTTCTTGGCTTTGATCAGAATATCTCCAAATCTCATTACTTGTATATGCATTAGTACAGAGTTTATGTATACGTATCAGATTCTGAGATACCAGATGACGAGTCCATATTCATCCCTGATATTGGACCGATCCACTGACCGAGTGAGGGGCCCGACCGACTTCAATAGGGCGGCAACATGACTAAAGCCTAATAGAATTCGATTTCCTGATGGTATTTCTAGGTCTATAAATAGGGTTGAAGGCTCCGCAATTGAAGTACACTATCTTTGGCACCAATTCACATATACAGATTGTTCCGCAACCCTATCTTCTAACTTAATCTTCGGAGTATTTATTCTCGGGAGGCCCCGAGGCTCTGTTTTGCAGGAAACCCTAATCGGAGTTCCGCCACCAGGCCGGAGGTGCAATTCCAGGCATCGTCAGCAGAAGTATGATGATTTGGTAAAAATGGTTAAATCACTTCAGTTTATCCACTCATGTAACTTTTGAAATTTATTTTTGACACAAATTTTTCAATGCATATGTCTTAAAAGTTGTTGAAATAGTAGGTTACTGTGCCCATAGACTATGGTAATGTCAGGCAAAAAGGGAAGGCGAAAAGTAACTGGCGATTCGAGTTTAGATATCGAAAGGTTGATAAGTGTTTCCAGTTTATGTCACTAGCAATAATGGAAGTGATAGAAATTGCTTAATTGCTTTCCTACTGTGAGGGCATCACACTGTAATTGCTGAAAGTGCAAAGTTATACAACTTCAGTTCTGTAAGAACTCTTAAGGCGGCTTCAAAAAGCAATTATTACGTATGTTGATTAACCACAATGTAGAACTTACCAAAAAAGTATAGAACCTTTCACATTGATTCTTTCCTCACAAAACAGAACAATACTAAAAATTTCAGTTCTATGATTGATACATTTAACAGTTAAGTTCAAACAAATGTCCTTCAATCCCAAAGTAAACTTGATCTGGAAATGGAGAACACTCAAAATGCACTACATAATGAGAGTTCTTTCTAAATAAAGTGAAAGCAAAACCAGATTTACGACACTTGTCGCAAACTTAATGTGGATGTTGTGGATGTTGCAGGATCAGAGCTTCATATTGCGAAGGCGCGACTTATCAATTGTCCTTGCAAAGAAGTTTCTGATGTATTCCCGAACAGTAAACTCCTTATAGAGAGCTGGACTCTCTTCTGATATCAGTTCTTTGATTGGACCATATGCATATGTAGGATCAGGATTACCAACAAAGAAACATGCTGCGGAAATTCTTGGTCCATTGTGGTTTGCAATCACTCTGTGCTCTACACTCTTATACTTGTCATTTGATACAATCTGGAAAAGGACGTGTGCGCATTATCAGATCAGTGTTAGTTTCAGTAAAAGGGGAATAAATTTACCATAATCAAACGAGTAGTTATGGTGTGGTTCATACCTGAAGAAGATCAGCAATGTTGACTACCAAACTTCCCGGCATTGGTGGCACATCTATCCAGTGGTTATTATGTAGGATTTGGAGGCCACCGATTTGATCTTGCAACAGAATTGTGAGGAATGCAGGATCTGTGTGCCTGTTTACTCCCATTGTTAGCTCCGGCTGTGGACATGCCGGATAGTAGTGGCACACAAAGGTGCGTGCCATTGCGCATCCCATGGTGTTTAGGCTGTCTTGTTTCAACCCAAGAGCTTCTGATAGTAACTGAAACAGATTCTCTCCCAGCTTAGTTACATAACTTATGTAATCAATGGCCTCACTTCTGCAATTTCGTACAAGGGAAGGAAAATTTTGTAGATTTTGGTGAGGAACTTGGAATTTTTTTTGAATCAGCATGAATATGGACTTGGTATGGAGAAAAACTTACCTGCAAACTTCTGGCAATTCATCAGGTTCAAATTCATTAGAAGAAATCAAGCTGATGGTCAAAGTGTCTCTCCAGTTAGCAGCTTTAGATTGATACAAATCAATATTGCTATCATACCTCACCTTTCGCATCCTGTCGCGAGTATAGTACTCTTTCTTCAGTTCAGCATCCTGTTCATGAAACTTCCTAGTTCCATCAATCATTCCATCCAAAACACTTGCTGGAACCCCGTGATTGACTAGTTGGAAGAATCCCCATTCCTCAGATGCTCTCCTTATCTCATCCACAATAGTTTTGTGTTGATCATCATTTGCAATGCCGCTGAGATCTATGACAGGAACTTGCACCTGGGAATGCCCGTAGCTTGAATCCTCTTCGAGTTCATCCAGTGGTCTAATAAAGATCTTAGGAAGAGTAGTAATGCCGGTATCAAGAAGTCCTTTCACACCAGCTTTTGTATCATCAAAAGCCTTGAGCTCTTCCAAGCGATCCTCATCGTGAGCTGATTGAATTGCAGTCTCTTTTACAGCAGAGGTATCCATGCTTCAACCTAAATCAGAAGTTGTTAAGTTCAATTTTCTTAGCAGGAAATCCATAGTTCTTTGCAGGTATTTATATTTAGTATATGATCCATCATCTTTCCTTGATAACATTGTCGACCGTAATGTGAACTCAACTTACTAGTGGTAAATATAATAGAATGGTCTTGAAGGACTAATACTTGGTCCAAAGTAATAGCATAGATCTGTAGTTAACTGAGGCAATATCATCTGAGGAATTATTTGACATTTTCAAAATTTCCATAATATCTTAAAAGTTTTCTCAAACACTGAAGATAAGAAAGTTGTTTATGCAACTTTCTCTGTTCAGACCTCAGAACTCTTAGCCATTATTTATAATTTGTCAGCTTCAAGGGACTAATGTGACATGATTGCTCTGGAGAAATATAACTTTTCTTCAAATTACTGCATGAAATTCCTTTAGCACGTTGGATTACCCTGAAAATAGAAACAAAATATGTCTGACGTTTTAACATTGATCATGTGTGAACTTAACTACCAATTCAAACCAAAAAAACAAAGGGTTCCTGTAATTCTGTCAAACAAGCAATGCCGAGACTTTTTCCATCTTCAAGTTTCTGAATGGTACTAAAGAGCTGAACTAGGATGTTGGTAATAATTATGTAAGTCTGCTTCAGTTTGGACAGTGATTCCATTGAGACAAGTATCATACAGCTAGATTGACTATGAAACAACTAGCGCATTTTCGTTGCACAACATTCATGTATCACTATTGTTCTTGCAGTGTTACTCCTTCATTTCATGCTTAGAGAGCTACTGACCCCTTCTCTGATACTCCATTACATAAATTTTCCTTTTCCATTTTGTTAATCTTGACACAGTATGTGAATTCCTAACAATATTAGAAAGTTGTCACCTCCAATTTTCATGTTGGAGGAGACGGGGAACATAGGAACTTTGGCATCTATCAGATCAGTTCAGCCACCTACTTGCATGACAATGTACAAGGAATTGGGTAACTCTTTTATTCTCATTGATGGTCTATATGTATGACATATTTGCCAACTGGAAATTACAACATATATCACAATGACATTACACAGGGTCAAGGCTTTTCGATCTTGCAGGCTCAGATCTTAAAAAATTCGAGGCCAGATTGATCAATGGACCTAGCGAAGAATTTGCCGATGTATTCCTGGACAGTGAACTCCTTGTAAATTGCAGGACTTTCTTCAGATATCAACTCCTTGGAAGGTCCATAAGTCACTGGAGGAGCAGCAACACCAATGAAAAAGCAAGCCACTGAAATTCTAGGTCCTGTTTTGTTAGCAATCACTCTGTGCTCCACACTCTTAAACTTATCATTTGACACAATCTGACAACACATCATTAACTTAACAGTATCAGTTGATGTCCATGTGGAAATAAGAGAGTATAGAACTTCGACAAATACAGTTTTTCTTACAAACCTGGAGAAGATCTCCAATGTTGATTACCAAACCTCCGGGAATGGATGGTACATCAGTCCAATGGTTGTTGTGCAGGAATTGTAGCCCTCCAATTTGATCCTGTGAAAGAATGGTGAGGAAAGCAGGATCTGTGTGCTTATTTACTCCCAGAGTTAGTGCTGGTTCAGGACATGCTGGATAGTAGTGGCAGACAAATGTGCGCCCTTTCGCGCAATTCATGTCATTAAGATTCTCCAATTTTAGGCCAAGAGCTTCAGATATAAGGTCAAATAAGGTTTCTCCTAGCTTGGTTATATGTTCTACATAGTTGAATGCTTCTGCTCTGTGTCATGTGCAGTGGAAAGCAGAAACCGAAAATGTATCGACAGAACATCATATACAGATATAAAAATATTCCTTTACATCAAAGTTTCAACAATTGGAATTTCTCAAAACTTACCTGCAAATCTCAGGAAGTTCATTGAGTTCAAGTTGATTGGAAAACAGCAGATTGATGGTCATAGTGTCCCTCCAATTAGCGGCTCGTGATTTATACAGATCAATGTTGCTCTCATACCTCAACTTCATCATTGGATCGCGCGAATATAACTCTTTTTTCAGTTCAGAATCTTGTTCATGAAACTTTCGGGTTCCATCTAGCATACCATCCAGCACACTTTCCGGGATTCCATGATTCACAACTTGGAAAAAACCCCATTCTTCTGACGCTCGCCTTAGCTGATCTACAACGATCTTGTGTTGATCATCACTTCCTATACCACTAAGATCTATAACTGGAACTTGTTCCTTGGAATGACCAAGGTTTAGATCCTCTACTAACTCACCAGGTGGACGAATGAAGATTTTTGGAAGGCTAGTGATTCCTGAATCAACTAGCCCTTTAACACCAGCTTTTGTATCATCAAAAGCCTTTAGATGTTTCAGGCGATCAGAATCTGCAGTACTTGAATCATCCATCCTCAACCAGTTCAAGACTGCAACTTGCAGTGACTTCTTGTTGTATTTAAACAGTTACCATAGTCATTTAATTCATAGTTGACTATCTTTAGGTACTTACATCACCAAAACTTGGATATTTAATTCATAGTTGACAACATAATTTAAGAATCTATTAAAAATGACAAGAATTATTTAAGTTTATATGAAAGTTCGTGCCGACTAACCAAGATGATGATATATAATCCATATAGTCGACCCAAATAATGAGATGAAGCTGCTTCTTGTTGTATTTTAAGCTTCCTAGAAAAAAAAAAAAGAAGCTTCCTTGTATTTTGGACTACTAAAAGTCTTATTTCATTAGGTCAGTATGGGATTATTTAAAGACTAATTTAACATTTTTTTTAATGTCTATCTAGTGGAGGTTATTGACTTGTCTTTTGGCCAGCCTGTTTGGCAGCAGTTGGTTCAAGAGGATATAAATGGTTTCATAATTCATTGGTTGGTTTAAACACAATTTCATTGATGTCTTCTTGTCACAAAACATTGTAAACTAAGTTCTTAATTACGATATTAGATAAAATTAGAAGGGATAGATAAAAAAAAAACCTATGTTTATATTTAGGATTAGTAATATTTTCATTCTTCTATTGAAGGATAAAAGATAGATCAATATTGGAATAGATGGTAAGAATATAGAATGCAGGAACCCGGAAGAATAAAAGAGATATCAATATTCAGAGAGGCTTTTTCAGTTTCATGAAGACCAAATCTTGAGGGAAAAAAATCATCGGGAAGCTCGTCGTGTTGATAAACTCGACGAAATAGTCGACCAACTTCGTCAGGTAATTCGTCGAGAAGATTATGTCGACAATAAGGTCGACGAAAGAACTTAAAAAAAAAAAAAAAAGAAAAGAAAAGTGCTAAAAACCATAATTTGTAGGTGCAAAGAGTGAAATTCCTGAAAACTGCAGGATTCTCTTGTGGTATCATCTGTTTGGCAGGACCATAAGTCACTGGAGGTGCAGAATCGCCGCGGAAAAAGCACGGCACTGAAATTTATCGGGCCTGTTTTCTTAGCAATCACTCTGTGTTCCACACTCCTAAACTAGTCATTTGAAACAACCTATCTTATTGGTCTCTGCCATTTTCCTTAAATGCAACGAGGGAAGCATATGAGCTTAAAATGAAAGGAAACAGGAAAAAAAGAAAACTGAAAAAGCTGTCTTACTGACCACCTTGAGGAAAACAAGAAGTGGTCGAGGAGGCAAGAACCTAGACCTCATAGTTATAATCTCCATTCTTACCAACAACAGGTTGGCACATCAATCCACCAATCTACTCTCCATCTCTAATTCCCCATCAGAAACAGCATTTTCCCGCTCATAATCACATACAAGCATTCAATCATTCATTAAACAGTGCAAGGAGCAAGGTGTGTTCTTCACCTGCCAATAATTCTCATACCTGTATGTATTTGACAAAGAAGTTTATCTTACAAATCAAATCCACATTGTCTTGTTTCTTGAAATTATGTACTCCCTCCGTCCCATAATTATTGTCCAATTGAAGTTTTCATTTTTAGTTCAAATTGTACTAAAAGTGAAATCCCAAACTGGACAATAATTTTGGGACAGAGGGAGTAGTAGCTAGTTAACTCCAATCTGCATGTTGGACAGAATGAAACGACACTGCAAAAAATATACTGTACTTGAATTATAAGGCAGAATGAAATGACAACTCTTTCTTATATTCAAAGAGGAAACTACAAGATACCAAACATCACAATGACATGATATGAAAGTTAACATGCTTCTGCTTTTGCAGGCTGCCAGGCTCAGATCTTAAACAATCCGACACCAGATTGACCAGAGGATTTTTTAAAGACTGTGCTGAGGTATTCCATGACAGTAAACTCCTTGTAAATTGGGGGATTTTCTTCTGATATCAATTCCTTTGCAGGGCCATAAGTCACTGGAGGTTCACGGACACCGATGAAATAGCATGCCACGGAGATTCTTGGTCCTGTTTTCTTGGCTAGCACTCTGTTCTCCACACTCTTAAACTTGTCATTTGACACAATCTGGCAAAATAATTGTACACTTGGCATTGTAAGTTCATTTCCATATGGAAGAGGAATGTGGAACTTCTAGAAATGTATTTCCTCCATTTCATATTCAATAAAGTGGAGTAGTGGACTACTGACATGAGATGGGTCTTTAGATGACAAACCTGGAGAAGATCTGAAATTATGACAACTAAACCTCCTGATATGGGTGGCACAGCGGTCCAAAGATTGTTGTGTAGGAATTGCAGACCTCCAATTTGATCCTGTAGAAGAATCGTCAGGAAAGAAGGCTTTGTGTGCCTGTTTATTCCCATTGTCAGCTCGGGCTCTGGACATGCTGGATTGTATTGACAAAGAACTGTGCGCCCTTTTGCGCAGTTCATATCATTCAGATTCTCCAACGTTAAGCCGAGGGCTTCGGATAAGAGCTCAAACAAGGTTTCTCCCAGCCTGGTTACATGTTCTACATAGTCAAATGCTTCTGTTCTGCAAAAATATAGTGAACCAGATAATGAAGATTTTTGGTATACTGGAAGATTCAGTTTAGGGATACATTCTCATAGTTCCATGGCATCAAAAGGTCAAATATTGAAATTTCTCAAAAGCTTACCTGCAAATCTCAGGAAGTTCACTGGGTTCAAGTTGATTGGAACGCAGAAGATTGATGATCATACTGTCTACCCAAGCAGCAGATGGTGCTGTATACAGATCGAAGTTGCTCTCAAACCTCACCTTCTTCCTCGGATCACGAGAATATAACTCTTTTTTCAACTCAGTATCTTGTTCATGAAATTTGCGAGTTCCATCTAACATTCCTTCCAACACACTCGCCGGAATTCCATGATTCACAACTTGGAAAAACCCCCATCCCTCAGACGCTCGCCTTATCTGATCAACAATGATTTTGTGTTGATCATCGCTTCCTATCCCACCAAGGTCTATCACTGGAACTTGCTTCTGGGAGTGACCAACATTTAAATCCTCCGAAAGCTCATCAGCAGGTCGAATGAAGATTCCGGGAAGCTTAGTGATTCCAGCATCAACTAGCCCTTTCACACCAGTTTTTGTATCATCAAACGCCTTCAGATCCTTGAGGCGATCTGCATCTGCAGTACTTGATTCCTCCATCCTTACTAAGTTCAAGACTGCAACTTTCACTCACTTGTGTGTGTATTTCAATAAACAAAATATCCTTCAATAATACATCATGATGAAAGCTAGGACATTTAATAACAATTTCCTTGGGACTTTTAAAGGTTTTCTGATGCTTTGGATTAGTAAAAGGTTTTGTACAATAAGATTAGTTTCGATTATTTAACATTTTTTAATGTCCAAATGTTTGAGGCTGCTAACCATTCTTTCGGCCGTGTATGGATACAATTATTAATGGACAAAGAAGAATATATTCTTCTCAGAGAAAAAGGTACATGAACCATACACACACACACACACACACACACACACACACACACACACACACACACACACACACATATATATATATATTCCGGAGCAAAATAACTGTACTGTATTTAATATTGCAGTATTACAATAAGCAACTTACTAGAATATTAAACTATAATATGCATTTCAACTTCCATACCACGTCTTCATTTTCTACAGGATTAGTAACAGGACAACTATTTTGAGACGTAGGAAGTAACATTTCACAATAGTATTACAGACTTTAGATAGATGAGGTGGTTTTTGATAACAAACCTCCCTTCATAAAGGACATGGTCAAGTGCATTAAAGCCTTGCATGGTATGTTCGTGTTATAATCTGAAATGCAGGAGCGATGAAACTCCATCTAGTCCCTTTGAATCATAATGCACAACAAAGTCCTTCACTGTCGTCTCTCTGTACAAAGGTGGATTATCTTCAGAGAGCAGCTCCTTGATGGGTCCATACATTCGCGTAGATGGATACAGATGTGGAGTGAAAAAGCAAGCTATGGATACTCTTGGTCCGACTAAGTTTGCCCGGACACGATGCTCCACGCTTATGAACTGATCATTCGATAGCAGCTGCCAAAATATCCAAATCAAACATGAGACATGCTTCATTCTTCCAATAGTATGGTCAATATGGTAAGAGTTGTGTTATACTTTTTAAACAAGCTTCATACAGATGAATATAAGAAATTTACTAGGATCATGCTTGATCTCCACAATCTCGTTCAATCCCAAAAATTACAATACAAATTTTTAGATAGCTTAATGCATACCTGCAAGAGATCCCCAATATTAACTACTAAAGCTCCTTGAACAGGGGGGACATTCACCCATTGGTTCTGATGAAGTACTTGAAGTCCTCCAATCTGATCTTGGAGCAAGAGAGTAAGAAAATCAGGATCAGAGTGTTTGCTGGTGCCCAAAGTCAGTTCAGGTTCTGGACAAGCTGGATAGTAGTGAGACAACACTGCCTGCCCTTTTGCACAATCCATATCAATCAGGTGATCAGGTTTGAGCCCGAGTGCCTCGGACAACAACTCGAAAAGAGCAATCCCAACCCTTCGAAGTCGCTCAGTGTACTCCATTGTTATATCCCTAACCATCAAAACTCACAATCTCAGAGCCACAAATATAAGCAACATTACAAACAGCATGCGACAGAGTTTTACGCACTCTGTCAACCTAACGCAACTCCCTTTTTTTTTTTTTTTTTGAAACGGTACCTGTTTATTAGTTAAAGATACCCCAGCCTATTACATTGCATTCTACCATAAGCTAAATTATGTAGTTCATGAACGTCTTGTCTAATCACTTAAAGCAACTCTAACCCTAGGCATGGTTGGATTTTGCAGAAACAGAATTCTGAAATGCATAAAAGAGGACATTTTTAGTACCTGCATATTTCAGGCAATTCAGCAGGATCAAGGGGTTCAGGACTCATAACACAAAACATGGTATCTCTCCAATTTGCAGACCTTGATTTGTACAAATCATAATTACTTGTGTAGGTTACCTTCTTACCAGAAGCTCCTCTTGTGTAGTACTTTTGCTTCTCCTCAAGCGGCAGCTCGTGAAACCCACGTGCCTTTCTCAACATTTCATCCAACACCTCAAGCGGAATTCCATGGTTTACCACCTGGAAGAAACCCATGGACCCTGCAGCTTTCTTCACCTTCTCAATTACTTCCTCCCGCCTTCCGGCCATGTCCACCACCGGAATTTCCATCTGGGTTTTGCTTTCTGGGTAGTCTCCGGCGACCTCATACTTCGGCCGGATGAAAATTCTGGGAACTTTGGAAATTCCGGCATCCACTAACCCTTTAACTCCGGCTTGTGTCGCATCAAAGGCTTTGAGCTCTTCTAATCTTTCGTCAATTCCCATTTTCACGTTATTTCTGCGAGTATAGTTTTGAGTTTTCTGGAGGTTTTCAGATCATAAAATAGTTGGATTACTGATTAATTGTGGCCACTGTAATTTCATGACAAAAATCTTCCAATTTACCCTTCTCTGTTTGTCTTCTTCTGGGTGAAATCCTGTTGATGAGGGCCACAAGTTCCACCGACTGACTTGTCAAATGCGCATTGATGAGGTATGATTTTTACACCATTTCTGTTATTACTACCAGAAAATAGTTGATTTTTTTCTGCAATTTTCTTTTTTCCTTGAGAAGATTGATATCATTCATTTGAAGATTCCAACTTTCTGGTATCTGAAGTAGTGGATTCAGAGGATGAACTTGGAATTTGTCGCTCAAAGCTCATACACGAGCTACAATTAGTAATTTGGTTGATGTTCTTTCATAAAGATTTTGCTATTGGATAAAACATTCATAAATCAGGACAACCAAAACATTCATAACTTTGAGGAAATTTTAGCTCTTGCTCTAGAAGATAATAAGACTCGTTCCAAAGAAACATGACAAAAAGGATCAAACAAAAAAAACAAACTGCATACTCATGCTAATAAAATAGTAGTTATTATTCTAACAAGGAAAATGATCCATTAAACAAATTCATGTACACAGATGTCCTGGAGTTTTGTTATGTCAAATTGATAAAAACAAAAATTAATGAAGACAAACTGTGACCTGGATGTGTTTGTCCTTTCTGTCTCTTTGCAAAAAAAGAAAAAAAAAAGTTTAAATATGTTGATTAATTATGTAGCACATTTTGCATTGCACTTTTAAAGAGCAAACAAAATGGCCTTCTCGGGTAAGAGAGAGATTCAGACTGAAACCATGCCTGAATCTGATAGAAAAATAAAGATTCAAGAGTTTGATGATCCGAAAACTGGGGTAAAAGAGCTAATTGATGAGGGAATCCCAAAACTCCCGGAAATATTCTTGGATGAGGAGGTGGAAAAGATCAAGTCAGAACCAATATCAGGCACTTCTGATCAGTTAAGGATTCCTGTGATAAACCGGCAGGGATTGACTGATCCAGGCAGTCGAAAAACGGTGATTTCTGAGATAAGGGATGCTTCTGAAAAATGGGTGTCTTCCAGATTGTCAATCACGGGATTCCTAAGTGTGTTGGACCAAATGATCGAGGGTGTTTGCCAGTTTCATGAGCAAGATTCAGAGGTGAAGCAGCAGTATTATACTCGGGATTTGAGTAAAAAAGTTCGATTTTACTCCAATTTCGATCTACATTTGGCAACTGCAGCATCCTGGAGGGATAGTATTTATGCTGTCCTGGCACTTGATCCTCCTAAGCCTGAAGAGCTCCCACATGTTTGCAGGTAAATGACACAAACTTAGTTATGCAATTTTCCCTTTTTCATCAGCTTAGTCTTGGGTTCATTACCCAGTTGTGTTTTGTATTCACAAATAATGCTTTCTTTTTCCTTGTTAGGCAAACTAAACAACATTTAGGGGATCACTATTTTGTTATTGGATTCGTGTTACCAGCGAAACAATGTCAAATGTGTTATTTTCTGGATTTAGTTGAGGCGTTATTACAAAACATGAGTCCTACTTTTCTGTTAAACCATGGTTTCAGTTCCTGGTCTAATATTGCATTAATTTGCAAGGAGATAATGTTAGAGTATGGTGAGCTATGTTACCTGGACTCGGATACGGGTGTCGTATCGGGTGCGGGGATCTAAGTGTCCGACTCGTCAATATTTTAAAAATTTTGGACATTTTAGGCTAAAGTACCTCACCCGACACTCATACCCACACCAGTGTCGATATGACACGACACGAGTATTCTCCCCAAATAGAAGAGTCCGGGTAACATAGATGGTGAGTACATGAGAAAATTGGGGCACTCAATGTTTGAATTGCTGTGAGGCACTTGGTCTGAATCCAAATCATTTAAACAATATGGGGTGTCATGAAGCACTTTTCCTTCTGGGTCACTACTACCCTCCATGTCCTGAACCCGAAAAGACTCTAGGCCTTCGCGGGCACACAGATTTCGGCATCTTAACTATACTTTTACAGGACCAAATTGGTGGCCTTCAGGTCCTCCATGAGAATCAGTGGATTGATGTTGCCTTCTTGCCTGGAGCTTTAATTGTAAACATTGCTTCTCTTTTTCAGGCAAGTTTTCTAGTTTATCCCAATAGCCCCAAATGTAGAAACAGCTAATCCATAGCTCTTTATTTCTAATCCCTGACAATGTTTGTCTGCAACTTCCAGCTGATCACGAATGATAAGTTCAAAAGTGCCTACCACAGAGTACTGGAAAGAAAAATAGGCCCGAGAATTTCAGTAGCAAGTTTTTTCTGGACATTATGATCAAAAAGACAGTGAATAGAGGCAGTATGGACCAATCAAGGAGTTGTTATCAGAAGAAAATCCACCACTTTATAGAGAGACAACTATCAAAGAGATGGTTTCACGGCGTTATGGTGAAGGCTTCGTTAAAACACAACTTCTATCACATTTTAAGTTGTTGTAGTATTGAATGGTCATTGCCTATATGAAAACATGATACATAAAAAATGGCTTAACTACCATCTTATATGCATGTTTTCTTTACCTATGAAGCCATCTCTGCATCAATAAATAATGTGGTCTGAAAACAGTCCTAACTTTGTTTGTTCTCCTGAATCCATCAAAGCCGAAAGAAGGATGAAGGGTTGTGTTTGTTTTGCTGTACCTGAATTCATTAAGAATGTTGTGATGACATTGATCTATGATGAAAGTATGCTTGTGGTCTATATAGTTCAATATTTCCACAGCCTACTTTTTCCTTCATCATTCAGCTTCTAAACTCTCTGGTGCAAGAAAACACTAGTTCCTGAAGTCTTTTTTTTTTTTTTTTTCCCTTGAATACAAACAAATTATCCTTTAAAATTCGGGTAAAAACTCCCTCATTACCCCCATATAGTTTAAGATGAAACTGCTTCACTGGCTAGGTCTCATAAAGAAAGCCATTAAAATTCTTGGACCAACTTGGGATTTTCTGCTAAGTATCTGTGGGATTTCACGCTCTCAAATCTGTCATCTGCAATGATCTGCACGATAAAGTGGTAAAAACCACAATCAAGTTCAAACCTTTAAAGATTATACTGCTCTAGCTAGCATGCATTAACATTATACTCTCTCTGTTCCCAAAAAAAGAAAAAAGTCCACATTTGAGTATTGGAATTTGAAATAATACTAGTAAAAATCTGAAAAATTGAATCAGAACCTTTTTTTTTTTTTTTTGGAACAGAGGTAGTAAATAGACCCAGTGTAATGAAATAGACTTAACTGTTGTTAGGTCATTTTACATGGAGTTCATTAAGCAAAAGAGATTTGATCCGTTAAGCAAATACATATAGAGACGTGTCAGTGGAAACTTCTCATGTAACATGCATTTGTACGCTAAAAATGAACAAAGACAAAATTTAGTAGAAGACAAAGCAGTGATTTGGATGCATTTGTCCCCTTTGTATCACTGCCACAAAAGATAAAAAAATGTGGATAAATTTATGAATATCTATCAGAATTATTTGCATTTGCATTCCAACAAACTCCAGTAAAAGTGAGATTCATACAGAAGCCATGCCTGAATCTGATAGGAACAGTAAGATTCAAGAATTTGATGATCGAAAAACCGGGGTGAAAGGGCTAATAGATGAGGGAATCTCAAGAATCCCAGAAATATTTTTGGATGAGGAAATGGAAAAGCTCAAAACAGAACCATTTTCAGGCTTATCTGATCAGTTGAGTGTCCCTGTGATAAACCTGAAGGCACTGACTGAAGGTGCAGTCAGCCGAGAAGAGGTGATTTCTGAGATAAGGAATGCTTCCGAGGAATGGGGTTTCTTCCAGATTGTCAATCATGGGATTCCTCAAACTGTGTTGGACCAAATGATTGAGGGTGTTCGCCGGTTTCATGAGCAAGATTCGCAGGTTAAGCAGAAGTACTATACTCGGGATTGGAAGGAAAAAGTGGTATTTAACTCCAATTTTGATCTGCACCAAGCAACAGCGGCATCCTGGAGGGATAGTATTTATGTTATCATGGCTCCTGATCCCCCTGAGCCTGAAGAGCTTCCTCAGGTTTGCAGGTATCAAATGAGACTAATTTAGTTCTTCTGCAGATTTTTCATTTTCCACAGTCATATTTAGTGTAGAGATGACAGTTGAGTGTTTTCTGTATTCGCGAGTTTTTCAGTAAAATGAGTTTTAGGGTTCCTTATTCTTTCTGCCGCGACACACTTAACAAGTGTTTAGGGTGGTTGCTTTTTCGTCTTGTGTTCATGTAACCCGCGAAACAAATACATTGCGTCAGTGTAAGTTTACAGTTCGAGGTTTCATGGTCTAATTTTGCTTTGATTTGCAGGGATATAATGATTGAATATGGTGAGCGCATGCAAATATTGGGGCATTCTATGTTTGAATTGCTGTCACAAGCTCTTGGTCTGAATCTGAGTTACTTGAATAATATGGAATGTAATGAAGGGCTTTACATTGTGGGACACTATTATCCGGCATGTCCTGAACCCGAAAAGACATTAGGCCTGCGTGGCCACACAGATTCCGGCTTCTTAACTATACTTTTACAGGACCAAATCAGTGGTCTCCAAGTCCTCCATGAGAATAAGTGGGTTGATGTTGCCTTCTTGCCTGGAGCTTTAATTGTAAACATTGCTGATCTTCTTCAGGCAAGTTTTATTAGTTAATCTCTTTTTGAACATAGCTCGTCAAATGCTTTTTGTCCTCACGTCTGACAATGTTTTATTGCAGCTGATGTCGAATGATAAGTTCAAAAGTGTCTACCATAGAGTTCTGGCGAAGAATATAGGCCCGAGAATTTCAGTGGCGAGTTTCTTCCGCACACATTTTGATCTCGAAGATAGTAAACAAAGGCTGTATGGACCGATTGAGGAGTTGTTATCAGAAGAAAATCCACCCCTTTATAGAGCAACAGCTGTGAAAGAGATACTTTCACAGCGTTATGGTGAAGGCCTAGGTAGAACACCACTTCTATCACATTTTAAGTTAAAACAACTGTAATGTGTTCGTGCTGTCGTATTTAACAGTCATTGCCTAGACCTGATGCATCCCAAATGGCTTCTCCGCTATCTTATGTGCATCTTTTGACCTAAGAGTCAGCATTCCTACTTCACTGAATCAATAAATAATGCAGTGTTATTTCAGTTTGTATACCTGAAGTCATCAAGAATGTTGTAACGGCATTGATGAAAGTCAAGAATGATCAATGCACAATTCTGCACGTGTAATTTCATGTTTCCACAACAGACTTTCCCTTTATCAGGCATCTTCGGTTTAACGAAACATTAGTTCCTTGAGTTGCATTTTCATACACACATACAAATTACAAATCAGGCTGGAAACCTTTCATATGCATAATCAGCTCCAGTTACAACTTACAATCTCGATGAAAACTCCCTACCATCAAGGTTTATTTCCAAGCCAGCACCACTGCAACGGTTATCAGGTACCATAACTAGATGAGGGCTTCACACCATCAAAGTCTCAAGTCACCTCAGCTTCAAAATATCTGTCATGCATTGGAAATTTAAGTTGGGAGCATGACCTTTGGTCTTTAGTTTACCTTAGAAACACATGACGAATCGTCTAGCTAGCCCTGTATCTTAAAATGTGACAATGGTGGACCTCCATCAAGCCCTCTATCGTAGTAGACTGAGAGATATTCATTAGTAGTGGTTTCCCGGTAAACTTGCAGATTTTCTTCAGATAACAGCTCCTTTATAGGTCCATAAACTTTAGTATCATCCATCCCTGCCCCAAAATGTGTTCTGAAAAAAGTTGCCACAGAAATCCTTGGTCCTTCTCTTTTTGCTAGAACTCTATGATTCAAACTCTTGAACTTGTCATTAGTGATTAACTGAGAGAATCAAAAAGTTAAAAAGTATGAATTTGGCTAAAATAATGTAATGAAAAAAAAAACAATAAAATTGTTTATTAGGTCCACAAGCAAACACCGGATATTTCATAGTTTCTATCATTACTCTGGCTACAAATGCAGATAATAAGAATTACAACTCTATATAACTACACAAGATAGTAAGATACTGAAGAGACTTGCCTGCAGAAGATCCGCGAGGTTCACTAACAGTGCTCCATGCAAGGGAGGGACATCAACCCATTGATTTTGATGCAGGACTTGAAGACCACCTAACTGATCTTGTATAAGTATAGTGAAGAAGCCACTGTCAGTTAAAAAGTATGAATTTGGCTAAAATAATGTAATGAAAAAAAAAAACAATAAAATTGTTTATTAGGTCCACAAGCAAACACCGGATATTTCATAGTTTCTATCATTACTCTGGCTACAAATGCGGATAATAAGAATTACAACTCTATATAACTACACAAGATAGTAAGATACTGAAGAGACTTGCCTGCAGAAGATCCGCGAGGTTCACTAACAGTGCTCCATGCAAGGGAGGGACATCAACCCATTGATTTTGATGCAGGACTTGAAGACCACCTAACTGATCTTGTATAAGTATAGTGAAGAAGCCACTGTCAGTGTGATTGCTGGTACCAAGAGTTCTTTCAGGCTCAGGGCATGCTGGATAATAATGTCCCAACAGAAACAGCCCTTCATCGCAGCCTAGATCTTTCAGATAACTGGACTTAAGCCCTAAGGCTTCAGACAACAATTCCAATAACCCGACTCCAAATTTGGCTACATGTTGTGAATATTCCAGCAGTACATCTCTGCAAATGAAGGAGACATAACACAATGCATGCATTTTGTTCATGTCCAGAAATTGTTCCGCGGAAGAAATATTCAGGGAGACTAATATATAGGTCAATAAGTGAGTCGCAGTTCAGCTGTAACCTAAAATTTTAAACTAGCAAGTCCTGAACTCACTTGTTCTGTATTACTCTCATGTAACAACTAAATGAAACCTACATTTATGCTTTGTTTCTCTTCCAAGTTAGATCATAATTCAGAAGCAATCAAGTATATATGAAAAGGGCTATCTGCAAAATGAAATTAGAATTCAGCCTGTAATTGTTACCTGCAAACTGATGGCAATTCTTCAGGCTTTGGTGGATCAGGAGACAGAATTCAAGAAAAAGTATCCCTCCAATTAGCAGCTTTACTTTGGTACAGATCAAAGTTGGAATTGAAATAGAATTTTTTCGTCAGGTCGCGCGAATAGTAAAGCTTCTTGAGCTCAACATCTTGCTCATGAAACATTCTAACACCATCAATCATTTCATCCATCAAGGATGCTGGAATTCCATGGTTAAGTACCTGGAAAAACCCCCAACTCTGACATGCATCTCGTACTTTACAGATGATTTCGCCTCGGCGTTCTGGGTTTTCCCTGAATCCTCCGAAATCAATAACAGGAACATTCATTCCCCTGTTTCCATTTGAAGATGGCAGCTTATCTTGTGGATGAACAAAAATATGTGGTATTTTTTTAACCTGAGGATCAACAAGTCCTTTGACTCCAGCTTTTGAATCATCAAACTCTTTCAGTTCTCTTCTCCGATCATAATAATCTCCGGTTCCCTCTGCATCATCAACTTTGGTACTCATTATTCAAAGTTCTCTAGATGTTTTCTTTTGTGGACTAATGCGGAATAAATTTTTAGGCCTATCCGTGAAGAATGGAGTACAAATGTCAAGTAGGCTAGATAATAAGATAAGTGGCTTCAAAACACACAATTTTGTACGCGTGCTACCAATGACCAAAACCTCATGATTCTCTAAGAAGGCCCTTAGTAATTACTATTTTTGCATTTTTTTTTTTATGATTCTGTCTTCATTATGAAATTCCTAACTCCTTGGTAAATATCTGATAGGCTTTCTGAATTTTTTTTTTTTTGATATATTGGGAATGAGTTGAATATTGAAGTTTTGAAGAGTTTTTAAATAAGTTTTATTGTTTGTATATGTGATTTGCTTTTGGGATTTTCTTAATATAAAATGTTTAGAGAAATGTATGATTAATTTATAATTTCTTACTTACTAATTTATGTAGGCACATGATTACTAGATTAGTTTAATCATGTTTTTCCTCTGGTTTTGGGTGAAGAAGATTCAATTTGTTCACATATATTTTTCTCAAGAGCGGAATAATGATGAGCCACTTTTGATCGGTGTGTTTATACAGTAATGGAAAAGAATGCACAATGAAGTTTCTTCTGTTACAAACTACAATGGTGAAATCAAATTATATCCCTTCAGAATATAAACATGGAAGTTATAAATGGATCTTATACGATGAATTAGAGACTTCAAGTGGTTTAAAAAATCATGAGTGTTAGTTAGTTATCGCATTTTCATAAAAAGAGATTTGAGATGGCCATAAAATTTGTTCCTCTATTGTTTGAGGTTTTTTGTTAGGATATTTACATCATAGCACGTAGACATATTTTAGGAACATTATATTAAGTATATTTTGATAATTATTCATACTGAAAGATTTATTAAAACTAAACTTTCCTTCAAAATACTACTACTTCAACAATGTCTATTTCTTCCAAGTAAGTATATTCATTTTTTTTTCTGTCCTTTTGATTCATATTCACAATATATTTTACATTTTAGTATTACAAGTGCGCCAAAATAGTGTTCGATGAATTATGAATACAGTATGTAGGAGACTTTGTTGCACTTGAAAAGCTAACAAAATGATGTTCTATATCAAGGGTGATATTCTATTGGGAATTTATCTGGAGGAGAAAACCCGACATGGACCCCAATAAGTAAGATAAGACCCATCTGAACTCAAAAGATAAGTAATGGGTTCTGAGACCACCTTACTTATTAACTGATTCACATGTCCTCATGCCTCCAATGTGGGATTCATAATCCTTGCCACATGACTCTTAACATTAATTGTATCATCATCACAGTACACAAATACATCACTGGTAGTTACTACTGCAGTAGTGTCATCATCACTTGATTCATCCTTCTTGCTTTTACCTTTTCTCGCTGCTAGTTCTCTCTTGAGAACCCTGCACTTTCTCTTAAAGTGCCCATTCCCTTGACAATGGTAGCACATGACATCTTTCTTGGATTTAGACCGTCCCCTGGACTTGTTATTCCGATCATGTGGCCCGCTGCTTTTACTTCTCCCTCTTATGTCTGACTTTTCTGTCACCAGAGCCTGCGACTCAGACTCAATACTCTGCCCTTTTCTTCTAACTTCTTTGTTCATCAAAGCCTCTTTGACCTGATCCAAGGTCAAGACACCATCCTGGGTTGAATTACTGATTGACACTACCAAAGTGTCCTAACTGTCTGGAAGAGAACTAAACAATAACAAAGTCTGCACCTTATCATCCAACTTTAAACCTACATTCACAGCTTGGTTCAACAAACCCTGAGACGAACTCAAGTGCTCATTCATGCCAGTACCATCTTTGTACCTCAACCTGGTAATCTGTTTCAGCGCATATGACTTATTGATGCCGGACTTCTTCTAGTACATATTTTGAATTTTCTCCCAAAGTTCATCAGCTTTTGTTTCTCCTGAAAAGTGATGAAACACACTTTCATCAATCCACTATCGAATATTACTAACAGTTTTCCTGTGCATATCAGCCCACTTTTTATCAGTCATATCACTTGGCCTACCTTCATCCCCTAGAACAGGATCAAAAAAATCTTTGCAATTTAACAAATCTTCCATTCTAGGCTTCCACATATGATAATTGGATGAAGTCAATTTAATCATCGTGCCAGTACTCGATGACTCTTCCATTTTATTGGTGTAACGCCTCAACTACCGAACCGTAGCTCTGATGCCACTGATGTGGCGGAAAGGGTATAAACACAACACACTACAGAAGCGAACCCCAAGAAAATCTCCTTTCCTACTACCAATAAAATAGGACAACCAACTAAACAAACAACTAATTCAAGAACTGATAAAGTAAAGTAGACACACAAATTTACGTGAAAACCCAAATCGGAAAAACCACGCCTGAATTTGATAGGAAAATGAAGATACAAGAATTTGAAGATTGGAAAACTGGGGTGAAAGGGCTAATAGATGAAGGAATAACAAAAAAAATCCCTGAAATATCAAATATTTGTGGATGAGGAGGTTGTAAAGCTCAAAACAGAACAGAACCATTTTCAAGCACATCTGATCAGTTTAGCATTCTGGGGATCAACCTAAATGGATTGACAAAAGGAGGATTGGGGCAGCCAGAACAAGTGATTTCTGAGATAAGGAATGCTTCTGAAAAATGGGGTTTCTTCCAGATTATCAATCATAGGATTCCTCAAAGTGTGTTGGACCGAATGATTGAGGGTGTTAGCCAATTTCATGAGCAAGATTCTGAAGCCAAGCGGCAGTTTTATACTCGGGATTTGAAGAAAAAATTCCGGCTTAACTCCAATTTTAATATATGCGGATTGAAAGCAGCATCCTGGAGGGACACTATATATGTTACTATGGCCCCTGATCCCCCAAACCCTGAAGATATTCCCCAGATTTGCTGGTGACAGAAAGAGGTGGATATGATTTTTCTGCAATTTTTTTCCATTTTCCAATATCATCTTAGGCCAGGGTTTGACTATTAAGTTATGTTTGGTGTTCAGGAGTCATACTGGATTCGTGTTGCCAGCTATTTTCGTGTTTGTTCGCGTTATATAAGGTAAATAAATTGATTGTTTTCATGTCCAATTAGGTCAAATTTGTTGCTTTTCTTGATTTAGTTCAGCTCTTTCTACAGAGTATGATTCCTACTTTTGGGTTCATTCATCATGGTTCCAATGCCTGGTTTGATCCTGCTTTGATTTGCAGGGATATAATGATTGACTACCGCGAGTGCATGAGTTAGGGCACTCAATGTTTGAATTGCGCTAGCTGAGCCTATTGGTCTAAATCCTAATCACTTGAA